AATCCTTTTCCTTTTGACCTAATTTCCTTAGAGAAATATTTTGAACTTGTGCTCTCAGGCCAGATTTTCCTGTCACACTGCCTGAACTAGATCAGAGGCTTCTCTGCCCTTTAATCCTTGCCCTGTTTACCATCAGTAACAATTGTAAACTAGTTCCTCATCATTATCAAGGCAGTGACTATCTTTCCCATTGATGAGAAGTGGTGATTATTTACTTAGGCTTGTGTTAGTCACAGATGCTTCAAATAGCTTGATCTTTTTCTTTAGGTAAGCATTTACACGGGATCAGTAAATAGGAAACATGGATGAAACCTCTCCTTAAAATTTGCTATTAGAATTTATCCAAAAAAAAATTTTTTTTTGAGACCGAGTTTCGCTCTGTTGCCCAGACTGAAGTGCAGTGGTGTGATCCCAGCTCACTACAACCTCTGCCTCCCAGGTTCAAGCAATTCTTGTGCCTCAACCTCCCCAGTTGCTAGGATTACAGGCACGAGCCAACATGCCCGGCTAATTTGTGTATATTTAGTAACAACAGGGTTTCACTATGTTGGCCAGGCTGGTCTTGAACTCCTTACCTCAAGTGATCCACCTGCCTCCGCCTCCCAGAGTGCTAGGATTATAGATGTGAGCCACCTCCGGCCCAGAATGTGTTTTTAATTAGTCTTGTGTTTAAGAACAGAAATATGGCCAGGCGTGGTGGCTCATGCCTGTAATCCCAGCACTTTGGGAGGCTAAGGCGGGCAGATCACGACGTCAGAATATCAAGACCATCCTGGCCAACGTGGTGAAACTCCGTCTCTACTAAAAGTACAAAAATTAGCTGGGTGTAGTGGCGTGCACCCAGCTACTGAGGCCGAGGCAGGAGAATTGCTTGGACCCAGGAGGCAGAATTTGCAGTGAGCCCAGATCGCACCACTGCATTCCAGCCTGGGCAACAGAGTGAGACTCTGTCTCAAAAAAAAAAAAAAAAAACAGAAACACAAGAATTGATTGAATTGATAATGAAGTGGTTTTGTTTGTTTTTTGAGACAGAGTCTCACTCTGTTGCCTAGGCTGGAGAATAGTGACCTGGTCTCAGCTCACTGCAACCTATGTGTCCCGGATAACCCTCAAGTGATTCTCCTGCCTCAGCCTCCTGGGTGGCTGGGATTACAGGCACCTGCCACCACACCCGGCTGATTTTTGTATTTTTAGTAGAAACGGGGTTTTGCCATGTTGGCCAGGGTGGTCTCGAACTCCTGACCTCAGGTGATCCACCTGCCTCGGCCTCCCACTATGCTGGGATTACAGGCCTGAGCCACCACACCCGGCCTAAAGTTTTTTTAATGTGGAATTGTCTGCTTCTTTCATTTAGTTTGTAAGGACATAGGTGTGCTTGCTAGTGCAGTTTTTCCTATGATCTGTGGATAGATATAAATTTATATTTAAAATTTTCCCAAAGGAAAAAAATTTCCATGAAATTTTTCTCTGCAGTTCTCTCTTTCTAGTTGGATTACACAAAAATGTATTACTTAGACATACTAGCTTTGTATTTGTCACTTGTATCTATAAGAGATTCTCTACCAAATTGCTTTCTGAGGTCCCTAGTTACCATTAGTAGGGTTAGGCTGAGTTAAGCATGTATATCCAAACCCAGCTACCTGGGAGGTGGGAGGATCCCTTGAGAACAGAAGTTTGAGGCCATCCTGGACAACACAGCAAGACGCCAGCTCTTAAAAAAAAAAAGAGTGGCTGGGTGTGGTGGCTCACGCCTGTAACCCCAGCACTTTGGGAAGCTGAGGCAGGCAGATCACCTGAGATCAGGAGTTCGAGACCAGCCTGACCAATATGGTCAAACCCCACCTCTACTAAAAAATATAAAATTAGCCGGGCGTGGTGGCACATGCCTGTAGTCCCAGCTACTAGGGAGGCTGAGGCAAGAGAATTGCTTGAACCCGGGAGGCGAAGGTTGCAGTGAGCTGAGATTGTGCCATTGCGCTCCAGCCTGGGCAACAAGAGCAAAACTCTGTCTCAAAAAAAAAAAAGTGTATATCCATATGTCTACATCCTGTAACCGTATGTTGTTTATTTTTATTTTGTTTATTATAAGAGGGTACGATGGGCACTATCTTGGCTCACTGCAACCTCTGCCTCCCAGGTTCAAGCAGTTCTCCTGCTTCAGCCTGCTGAGTAGCGGGGTTTATAGGCACTTACCATGCCCAGCTAGTTTTTGTATTTTTAGTAGAGACAGGGTTTCACCATGTTGGCCAGGCTGGTCTTGAACTCCTGAGCTTAAGTGATCCACCCGTCTTGGCTCCTCAAAGTGCTGAGATTACAGGCGTGAACCACTAGGCCCCACCAACATCCTATAACCATGTTTTGAAAAGAAAGAGTAGGCTGGCCTCAGTGGGTCACGCCTGTAATCCCAAGCACTTTGGGAGGCCAAGGTGGGAGGGTTACTTGAGTCCAGGAGTTTGAGACCCCCCTGGGCAACATCATGAGACCCGCCTGGGCAACATCATGAGACCCTGTCTCTACAGAAGATTTTAGAAAGTAGACAGGCATCGGCTGGGCGCAGTGGCTCACGCCTGTAATCCCAGCACTTTGGGAGGCCAAGGAGGGCGGATCGACGTCAGGAGATTGAGAGGCGCCTATAGTCCCAGCTACTTGGGAGTCTGAGGCAGGAGAATGGCGTGAACCTGGGAGGCGGAGCTTGCAGTGAGCCACTGTCGCGCCACTGCACTCCAGTCTAGGCAACAGAGAGAGACTTCATCTCAAAAAAAAAAAAAAAAAAAAAAAAGGCAGGTGTGGTGGCGCGTGCCTGTAGTCCTGGATACTCAAGGAGGCTGAGGTGGGAGGATTGCTTGAGCTTAGGAGGTCAAGACCAGTGAGCAGTGATCACGCCACTGCATTTCAACCTGGGCAACAGAGCAAAACCCTGTCTCAAAAAAAAAAAAAAAGAAAAAGAAATCACCTTTAACACAGGATATTCTTAGCTGATCCATTGGAATTGAGAAATCCTTATAAATGTATTCATCTACTGTGTATCCACAAATTTTTTTTTATGCTTTAAGTTTCATGGTATATGTGCACAACCTGCAGGTTTGTTACATATGTATACATGTGCCATGTTAGTGTGCTACACCTGTTAACTTGTCATTTACATTAGGTATATCTCCTAATGCTATCCCTCCCCTCTCCTGCAATTCCATCACAGTCCCCGGTGTGTGATGTTCCCCTTCCTGTGTCCAAGTGTTCTCATTGCTCAGTTCCCACCTATGAGTGAGAACATGTGGTGTTTGGTTTTCTGTCCTTGCGATAGCTTGCTCAGAATGACGGTTTCTAGCTTCATCCGTGTCCCTACAAAGGACATGAACTCATCACTGTGTATCCACATATTATTTTTTTTTTTTTTGAGACGGAGTCTCACTCTATCGCCGAGACTGTAGTGCAGTGGTGTGATCTCAGCTCACTGCAAACTCCGCCTCCTGGGTTCACACCATTCTCCTGCCTCAGCCTCCTGAGTAGCTGGGACTACAGGCATGTGCCACCACGCCTGGCTAATTTTTTGTATTTTTAGTAGAGACGAGATTTCACTGTGTTAGCCGGGATGGTCTCGATCTCCTGACCTCGTGATCCGCCAGCCTTGGCCTCCCAAAGTTGTGGGATTATAGGCGTGAGCCACTGCACCCAGCCAAAAATTTTTTAAAGAAAAAAGAGAAACTCTTTTTATCCTCACTTTAAACTGCCTTTGTATTGCTTTCAAAGGCTGCTTGATTATCTTTAAATCAAATCCGTATGACTGAGAAAGCAGTATTTTATTAGTTTCTTAGTGATTTTTTTGATCAGAGAAATAGGAACTAGTGGAGTAAAGATAAAATAAATATATGAAATAAATTTTATATATATATGTATATATTTGTTTTTTTTGAGATGGAGTGTTGCTCTGTCTCCCAGGCTGGAGTGCAATGGCACAATCTCAGCTCACTGCAACCTCCATCTCCTGGGTTCAAGCGATTCTCCTGGCTCAGCCTCCTGAGTAGCTGGGATTACAGGTGTCTGCCACCACGCCCAGCTAATTTTTGTATTTTTAGTAGAGACAAATACAAAATTTAGGGTTTCACCATGTTGGCCAGGCTGGTCTCGAACTCCTGACCTCGTGATCCTCCTGCCTCAGTCTCCCAAAGTGCTGGGATTACAGGCATGAGCCACCATGCCCCAAAAACGCTAATGGGTTTAAAAGAACGTAAAGAATATACATTTTTTACATTTTTAGGAGTTAAAATAGATTTCTCTTTCAACTTTTGTGTATGTTTGAAACTTACAATGTTGGAAAAATATATGAATCTTGTATTTTACTTTTAGTTTGTTCATTCAAGTATTTCAATAAAATAGATGATTACTCCATATTCTCAAAGAGGTTTTAAAATCTTTTTTAGTGGGCCAGGCGTGGTGGCTCACGCCTGTAATCCTAACACTTTGGGAGGCCGAGGCAGGCAGATAACAAGGTCAAGATACCGAGACTATCCTGCTCAATATGGTGAAATCCTGTCTTTTCTAAAAATACAAAAATTAGCTGGGGGTGATGGTGCACCCCTGTAATCTCAGCTACTCGGGAGGCTGAGGCAGGAGAATCGCTTGAACTCGGGAGGCAGAGGTTGCAGTGAGCCGAGATCGCACCGCTGCACTCCAGCCTGGCGACAGAGCGAGACTCCATCTCCAAAAGAAAAAAAATCTTTTTTAGTGAATGGAAGGTTGGAAAAATTTCACCCAATCTTTTAATGAAGTGTATCACAAAGTGAAAGAACCTAATAAAAATGAACAAAAGGTAGTTGACTGAACTCATCTATCTTTGTAGGATACTTCATATATAAATGAGGCTTTTTGTGTGGCAAGTAGATGGAATAGTGAGTCTACTTTTTGTCAGGTGCATAGCTTTCATTTACAGTGGAGTCTTTAAGGCTAAACACTATTGGAATTATTTTTTATTTCATTCTACTTACCTCTGTTTTCTTTTACAGCATCCACCCGTTTTGTCAAGTGTGAAAAATGTCATCATTTTTTTGTTGTGCTATCTGAAGCAGACTCTAAGAAAAGCATAATTAAAGAACCTGAATCAGCAGCAGAAGCTGTAAAATTGGCATTCCAACAGAAACCACCACCTCCCCCTAAGAAGGTATAAGTCTTAAGCTCAGTCTTACAAGTATTTTATCTTGAAAACATTCCATTGCTTCCCTTTCCCAAGTTTATATTGAATCCTAATACTAGTATCTGAACAAGTATTACAGGTTCATAATATGGACCATATGTGGCTAAATTGTTATTGCCTTTTGGAATTTAAATATGGGGTCCGTTGCTTTTTCCCATGTTATGATTACTGTATTTAGTAGCAGTGAAATGTAGCTAGATAATTATTAAAATGTTAACTTGTTAATACCAAGTCAATCTGAAATAATATCTTTACCATAGAGCAAGCAACTTTTGATTTATTTTTGTTCGTTTGGACCCTTGTTCGTTTGGACCCTTAAATAACACCAGCCTAGGCTGGTCCACTTGACTAGCCTTAAAAAAAAAAAAAAAAAAAAAAAAAACCCTATAATTATCTCCCTTAAATTGGTCTATTTTATGGTAAAACAGCCTTCAGTCTAATAATATAAGCAAGTAGTTTTTTCATAGCCAGTGTGCCAGGGCTGCTCTGTATAGCACTGTGGCTTTGGTAGTGTGGACTCTTTTTAGAAGCCTCAGGCCGAGTATGATTTGGTCCTGTGAAATGTAACAGAATGTACCACCAGCTCCATTGGGTACTTGGTGTGTGCTTTTTGAGAACTGGGAACCCTTGTACCCTGGCTGTGTGCCTTCTGTTCTGGCTGTGTCTCAGATGTTTGCACACTTAGATTATTTCTCATTGCCTCAGTGTATCTTTCTTCTACTGTGTTTAGATAGCAGTGCATTTGTCTCTACTTCCAAATGTGCTGTGACAGGTTTAATGTCATTGGTATAATTTGTAAGGAATAAAGATGTTTAAAACTATAAAAAAATGTATATGGTCAACTAAATAATTTGTCATTTAAAAAATGGAAAATATATTGGGCTTTATATTCTATATGAATTTGTGTAGACTTCAGACATCTGAGTTAAAATTCCAGGCAGTTTATTTTCAGGAGTTATACTGCTGAAAATAGTATAAATAATATATAAATATTGAATTATTTATTTTTTAATCAGGGTTTCACTCTGTTGCCCAGGCTGGAGTGCAATGGCACACTCATGGTTCACTGCAGCCTTAACCTCCCTGGGCTCAAGTGATCCTCCCACTTCAGCCTCCACGGTAGCTGGGTGCAGGTGTGTGCCACCATGCCCAGCTAATTTCTGTAGAGACAGGGTTTCGTTGTTGTCCAGGCTGGTCTGCACCTCTTGGGCTCAAGTGATCCACCCACCTCAGCCTCCCAAAGTACAGGGATTCCAGGCGTGAGCCACCATGCCCGGCAGGAGTTGTTGAATATTAATTCACCAACCATTTCATTTCTATTCACTTTTTAGTGAATAAAAAATTTACCCCAGGTTCCAAGCTGTTGGCAATAACCAACTGTAGAACAGAGCTTTAGCTACTATTAAGAGTAAAGTTTTTAGAGTTGAGCCTGGTGGCTCATGCCTGTAATCCCAGCACTTTGGGAAGCCAAGGTAGGAGGATCGCTTGAACCCCAGGAGTTCAAGACCAGCCTGGGCAACACAGTGAGACCCTGTCTCAAAAAAAGAAAAAAGTGTATTTTTAGAAAATTTAAAAAAATAATAAGAATACAATTTTTAGGGTCTCATTTAGATAAATGAGTAGCTTTAAAGTTAATATCTGAGAAAAAACTAAATGTATTAAAACACATGGATACTGATGGTATAATGGCTTTTGATTATATAATGCCTGTTTCTGAAAAGGGTAGTTTTATAATATGTTATCTTTGTGAAGAATATTATTCATTTGATTGAGAGGTATAGATTTATTTTAATGATTTACATTAATGTTGATACTTTTAGACCCATGGTGGCATGTGTATGTATTCTAAGTTACTTTAAATTTAATTGTTTATTAAAAAATAAAGGTTGATAGCATTGTTTATAGAATAGAAATTAGCATAACACAGTGATACTTTGTTAAACTAGAGAACAAATGAATTGTGTTTTTGTTCATTTAATGTTTAGGGCCTCTGAATCATTGCTATATAATGTATTGTCATTTTGTTTTTAATGAGAGTCTTTGTCAGATTTAAAACTGTAAGCAAGTATGCTTAGTATATAACTTTTTAATGTGTGTGCTCTTATAGCTCATATTAAATTATTCATACCTAATCATTTTTCAGATTTATAACTACCTCGACAAGTATGTTGTTGGCCAGTCATTTGCTAAGAAGGTGCTTTCAGTTGCTGTGTACAATCATTATAAGAGAATATATAATAATATCCCAGCTAATCTGAGACAGCAAGCAGAGGTTGAGAAGCAGACATCATTAACACCAAGAGGTAGCGTTTTTGATAATTGACCTAAATAGAGATTGCTATGCTTAAAAGTAATCTTTATTTGTAACTCCTCACGTTCTTCTTAAAATGTTTTTTATATAGTGGAGCATTTTTCAAAGTGCAGGTTACTCCCCATTAGTGGGTCATGAAATCATTTTGGTAGGTTGCCAACAGCATTTTTAAAAAATTTGATAGATATGAATAGAAAATATCAGAATACATTAACTTATAGTTAAGGTAAATATTATTTCTTAGGCCTGGCATGGTGACTTATCCTGGTAATCCCACACGTTTGGAGGCTGAGGTGGGGGGATCACTTGAGGTCAGGAGTTCGAGACCTGCCTGGCCAGCATGGTGAAACCCCGTCTCTACTAAAAATACAAAAATTAGCTGGGTGGGGTGGCATATGCCTGTAGTCCCAGCTACTTGAGAGGCTGAGGCAGGAGAATTGCTTGAACCTGGGAGGCAGAGGTTGTGGTGAGCTGAGGTCACGCCACTGCACTCCAGCCTGGGCAACAAGACTCCATCTCAAAAAAAAAAAAAGGAAAAAAAAAACAACTTACGTTTTCAGTTATATGTGCATAGGTTCTGAGTCACAAAGAAAATTATACTACTTATTGAGGGTCTTAGTAAAAAATGTTTGAAAGCCACTGGGGTAGAGATTGAGACATCATTTTCACCACAACTAGTTCCCCATGAATGGATCTTAGCAATGCTCTGTACAACTCAGTTCTCTTGGGTTCAGGATACAGAATTTCATTTGCCTGTGTCAGAGATATGTGGAGATGATGACTGTTAATATATCCAGCACTCGTTTTTCTTTGGGCCCTAGCTACAGAGTGTATAAGGTTAAGGGCAAATCTGTGAGTGATTCAAAGTACAATTTCTCTTAAGGGTAGATTCTAATATACCAGTACTGTATAATCTCAATTTACTATGGACAATAATGAGATATACTATAGACAGTTTACTGAGAATATACTGTGTAATCTCAATTTACTATGGACAATAATGTATATTAATAGAATGATTTTATTTAAAACAATTATGAATAGAGTAAATATAAATATTTAATTTTTTGTTTTGTTGGCCAGACAGCCCTGATTTCTGATTTAGGCCTACATTCCATCATTTTAGATTCTTTTAATTATCACTGTACAGTGTGAAGGAGTTCTGCTAAGTACTTAAATTTATAAATCTACATTATCTTTGATAGCCTTTAGTAGCAACTAAATGTATAATTTATTTAAATGAAGACACTTGTTCACTTGTTGAATTTACATCATATAACTGCAAAATAGTTACGTGATGGTATCAGTTATTTTTAGAAAGTATAAGTCATAACTAATGGAAGACTCAGAACCTTTTTTCTTTTTTTTTCAAGACAAGGTCTCGCTCTGTCACCCAGGCTAGATTGCAACTCACTGCAGCCTCAACTTCCCAGGCTCCAGTGACCCTCCCACCTCAACCTCCCAAGCAATCCACCTGCCTCAGCCTCCCAATGTGCTGGGATTAATAGGCTTGAACTCCTGCGCCTGGCCTGAAATCTTCATTTTTATAAGGTCCAAATAGCACTGATAGTTATGTGGCAAAACTTTTTTGTTTTCTTCAGTCAATAAATAAATATTTAAGCTATTCTAAGTGCTGGAGGAGCAAATGGTTATAATATGTATAGCATGAGGGGCTTAAACTCTTATATAAAGACTTATACCCTTACAGTGGATATCAATTATATATTTGACAAATATGAATATTAGCAACTGGACAGCCATCTTTATGCATGGTTTTGTTTTAATATAGAAAAGATATAGCGTATAGATTCTTAATATGAAAAGCTGAAAAATGTTAGTGAACACATCCTTTAAATATATTTGAAAGAGGACAGGAGGTGGGATACTCATTGTTTGTTCCCCCAAGGTAAACAAATATGTAATATTTTCATCCTCTTTCTTAGAGTTAGAAATAAGAAGACGGGAGGATGAGTACAGATTTACAAGTAAGTGACTTCAGGTCCTCCTCTGTAATCATTCTTCCTTTTGACATTTATTTCAGTGAAGTGTTTTAGCAGTAACAGTGATAGACATGTATGTATTTGCTTGTGTATTACCAAGAAAGATACATATTATCTAAATGTGTTTATCATACATGGTATAAATAACTTTGGAATAGTTTTTCATAGCTAATTTTAATTTCTATATGTTTGGTTATTTCTTATTTTTTCTATCAAACTACAATTAGAGTTGGCCTGCTTCTTGTGGGTCACAGGAATTTGGGGGAGGCAGATTATTTTCTAGCTACTCTTTGCCAGAAACCACACTGTTTCTTTTTTGGTATTTATGAAACTTAGTCTTACAAATTATGAGTAAGCCTTAATTCACTGTTTCTAGCCCTGGATTGCCCCTAAAAGCATCAGATGGTCCGATGGAGGGTGTGGAAGGACTTGATAGACCAAAGAGACTGGCCCTTCTGATGTCTTCCACCTATTCCTTTGGCGGTGGATGTAGTTAGTTGCTGCATTGAGGGTAGAGGTTCCAGGGGTGTCATAGAAAGATTCACATGGCCTTTTGTTTTAGTAATTGAAATAAAGAAAATTAGCTAAGTTTGATACTTTTACATTTGCCTTTGAACCAAGTAGTAGTATATATCCACTATTTGAAGTGTACTGTATATAGGATGAGCCATGAGAATATAACTTGTGTACCAACTTGGGCATGACATTTATCACATGTAATAACATTACATTATCCCCAGTTACTTTTAAATTTGTGGAAATACTGATTATACCATGCATGGTAAAATTAAGAAATACAGTAAGTGCAATAGAATTAGATTATATATAAGAATGTAAGATCTAAATAATAACCTTTAGGTATATATATAATTTATATTTCGTAATGAAAAAATATATTCTGATATGCAGTCAATACCATACTCATAAATTGTGTTGATGGCTAGTGAAACTATACTAAATTAGTAAAGAAAGTCTGTAGTCCATATTTTGAAAGACATGTCATGTAATATATGTAGTGATTTAATGTTATTTAAATGTTAACAAGTAACAGTATTTAAGAACTTATGTAAAAGATTGACTGACTTAGAAACAAATACTTCAAAAGCTTAAATTTATTGTCATGTGCAGTTTTGTTGTGTTTTATGTGGGATTTTAAGTTCTAAAGTTAGGTTGTTAGCTAACACCAGCTGGGGGTGTTAGACCCTAACACTGATCTAGGGTTTTAGACCAAAATCATGTACAATAAGATTAATTCTTGTAAGTCCCTTTGGAAGTAAAATTTTAGAGACCAACATACGGCTTTTAGGAGGACTGACACAATTGGCTTTTTTTCTCCATCTTTGGAATATAATGATGTTTAAGTTGAGCACCAGATGAAATACTTCGTTTGCGTTTAAGGACTATGTTGTGTGAATAATTAAACACTAGGGAAATGGTAATAATAATAGAAGATTCTTCTGTAACACTTATAAAACTATCTGCCAGGTATTGTTCTTAAGTGTTTTGCATATATTCATTTAATCTCTCCTAAACCCATGAGACAGAAACTATTATTTTTATCTCCATTTTTGAAATAAGGAAACTGAAACACATAAATTTTAAGTAATTTATCCATGGCCACACAGCTGGTGAGCTCTGTGCAGCTAACTACTACACTAGCCTGCTTGCTCGTGGTCCTCATTTTAGAGAGCTATGCTTACAAAGTGAGAGATGCACAAACAGGTACTAACTGAAAGAATTGGAGAGTTATCTCAAGTTTACTGTAAGGCATATACTCATAAAATGGGATGATAGACATCATTTAAATTATTTTTTTTTAACTTAAATCATTAAGTTAAATACATAGATTACATGGTTCCACTGTAATTAATATGCCTCTTGCAATTTTGTTCAGTTATTCGTCTAAACCGTGTGTGTGTGTGTGAGAGAGAGAGAGAGGGAGGGAGGGAGATAGAGAATGAGTGAATGATAAGCACCTGCTGGCCTCGCTTATCCGAAGCTACATCTAAATCATTTTTCCCCTTTGGGCAGAGCTAAACTTAACCCAAGCTCCTTCCTATGTTATCATAATCGCTAACCAGATTTTGCTGAAATTTTTAAAAGTACTTTGCTAGTGACAATTTAACTAACCCCATACAGCAGACTGGGTTTTCTTGGCTGATGTGGATTATAATGAGGCACAACATTGTGAATTATTCCCTAATTATTAACCCTCAAAGGTAGCACAGTTTAATCCAGATGTTTATGGAATGCTTATTGATTTTGATGAATAATGCTTTACCTTAAGTGTGAAGATAGTTTGAAAGTGACAGCCAGATGGAATAGGACCATGATAATAGATACGTCTACTGAACTGTTATTCTGTCAGTTTAATTAAAATAATAATGCATTGGAAAGTCTTGATTTTCTTAATCAATTTCTTAGAAAATAAAATTTAGGCCAGGTACGGTGACTCATGCTTGTAATCTCAGCACTTGGAGAGGCCGAGGCAGGTGGATCACCTGAAGTCAGCAGTTCGAGATCAGCCTGGGCAACATGGCAAAACCCCATCCCTACTAATAATATAAAAATTAGCCAGGTGTGGTGGCATGTACCTGTAATCCCAACTACTCAGGAGGCTGAGGCAGGAGAATCACTTGAACCCAGGAGGCGGAGGTTGCAGTGAGCTGAGATTGCACCACTGTACTCCAACCTGGACAACAGAGAGAGACTCTGTCTCAAAAAAAAAAAAAAAAAAAAAGTAAAAATGAATTCAGAAAATATAAACAAGTATGTTATGATGACAGGTACTCAAATGCTAAGAACCAAGAACAATCTGAATATTTACAAATATGGATAATCTTTCCTTTAGCCAAGAGAAAGTAAGAATAAAGATTTATTTATTTATTTTTTTTTATTTTTATTTTTTTTTTTTTTTGAGACGGAGTCTCGCTCTGTCGCCCAGGCTGGAGTGCAGTGGCGCGATCTCGGCTCACTGCAAGCTCCGCCTCCTGGGTTCACGCCATTCTCCTGCCTCAGCCTCCCGAGTAGCTGGGACTACAGGCGCCCACAACCGCGCCCGGCTAATTTTTTGTATTTTTAGTAGAGACGGGGTTTCACCGTGGTCTCGATCTCCTGACCTTGTGATCCGCCCGCCTCGGCCTCCCAAAGTGCTGGGATTACAGGCGTGAGCCACCGCGCCCGGCCTTTATTTATTTTGTTTTGTTTTGTTTTATTTTTATTTTATTTTTTTGAGATAGCATCTTACTCTGTTGCCCAGGCTGGAGTGCAATGGCATGATCTTGGCTCACTGCAACCCCCGCCTCCCGGGTTCAAGCTATTCTCCTGCCTCGACTTCCCAAGTAGCTGGGACTATAGGCGTGTACCAGTACATCTGGTTAATTTTTGTATTTTTAGTAGGGATGAGGTTTCACTGTGTTGGCCAGGCTGTTCTTGAACTCCTGACCTCAGGTAATCCACCAGCCTTGCCTCCCAAAGTGCTGGGATTGCAGGCTGAACCACCATGCCCCACCCTAAAGATTTATTTTTGTAGGAACCTGGCTGATCAAATGATACTTCACTAGCAGTGTCAGTCCCATGTAGTCATTAGCAATGTCAGTCACATTTAGTTAAGAGTTATGTCTCTAATAAAGGAACTAGAAAGATCCAGTACAGGTCCAATAAAATTAGAGATTTAGATAGGACCAGAGATAGTGAGGTCTACCATATTTGGTTTCTCTAGTAGATTTTATTGATTAAGAAACAGGAACATAAAATTTATATGACTTGCCCTTGATCATATGGCTTCTACTTAGAGACAAACGAAGGTCCAGAGCTAAAGCTTTCTAACTCCTGGCTCTGCTCTTCCATTGCATTGCCTTCCCTTGGGTAAAGGAGTATTCTTACATATTTATGTAAATAAAGACAGGGAAAAAAATCAATTTCCTTTGCTTGAGGTTCTTTATATAATCATTGTGTGCTATATGTTTGTCATTAGGTAATTTGAGATTTTTCTCCTTTGTAGGTAAGACAGAATGTCAAAATACTTAAATTTTCTGTGTAGATGTTCAGTTTTAGATAAAAGTTTTTATGGGACATTTTCCTCAAGTAAATTCAAATGAATCTCAAGTACTTCCTTTGGCATTTTTTTCAGAATTGCTTCAGATTGCTGGAATTAGCCCACATGGTAATGCTTTAGGAGCATCAATGCAGCAACAGGTAAATCAACAAATACCTCAGGAAAAACGAGGAGGTGAAGTATTGGATTCTTCTCATGATGACATAAAACTTGAAAAAAGTAATATTTTGCTGCTTGGACCAACTGGGTCAGGTAAATAACTTGCTGAGAAAATTTATTACTCATTTTAAAGATCAGAATATAAATGATTCTATAACCTGTATTTTGTGATTGAAGTATTATGACTCTTGAGAAGAAAATCTAAGGCCAGTTGCCTAGATACACTATCAGTATTCCTGCATAGAATACAAACTGAGGCCGGGCGTGGTGGCTCAAACCTGTAATCCCAGCACTTTGGGAGGCCGAGATGGGCGGATCACGAGGTCAGGAGATCGAGACCATCCTGGCTAACACGGTGAAACCCCGTCTCTACTAAAAATACAAAAAACTAGCTGGGCGAGGTGGCGGGCGCCTGTAGTCCCAGCTACTCGGGAGGCTGAGGCAGGAGAATGGCGTAAACCCGGGAGGTGGAGCCTGCAGTGAGCTGAGATCCGGCCACTGCACTCCAGCCTGGGCGACAGAGCAAGACTCTGTCTCACAAAAAAAAAAAAAAAAAAAAAAAAAAAAAGAATACAAACTGAATTTGAGGCATTGGTGTTCCCCTTCAGACCAGTCCCTAACATCTTAACAGGAATAATAAAATAAAAAACAGCTATATCTAAAAAATAATAGACTAGATGTGGTGGCTCACACCTGTAATCCCAGCATTTTGGGAGACAAAGGTAGGAGGATCACTTGAGACCAGGAGTTTGAGACCAGCCTAGGCAACATAGCAAGACTCTATCTCTATAAAAAAATAAAGTAGCTGGGCGTGGTGGCTCACGCCTGTAATCGCAGCACTTTGGGAGGCCGAGGCGGGCAGATCATGAGGTCAGGAGATCGAGACCATCCTGGCTAACACGGTGAAACCCCGTCTCTACTAAAAAATACAAAAAACTAGCCGGGCGTGGTGGCGGGCACCTGTAGTCCCAGCTACTCGGGAGGCTGAGGCAGAAGAATGGCATGAACCTGGGAGGCGGAGCTTGCAGTGAGCCAAGATCGTGCCACTGCACTCCAGCCTGGGCCACAGAGCCAGACTCCCGTCTCAAAATAAATAAATAAGTAAATAAATAAAGTATTAGCTGGGTGTGGTAGCATGTGCCTGTACTCCCAGGACTTGGGAGGCTGAGGCAGGAGGATCACCTAAGCCCAGGAGATTGAGGCTGGGGTGAGCCATGATCACAGGCTGCACTCCAGCCTGGGTGAGAGAGCAAGACCCTGTCTCTAAAAAAAATAATAGCAGAAGAAAATGTAGCAATTGACAACTTTTTATTATATACTACTAAAATTTATTTTGCATTTTTATTGAAAAATTGTGTGCCAATATATGTTTAGTAAACTTTTAGTTAATGTTTCTATTTGTAGGTAAAACTCTGCTGGCACAAACCCTAGCTAAATGCCTTGATGTCCCTTTTGCTATCTGTGACTGTACAACTTTGACTCAGGCTGGATATGTAGGCGAGGATATTGAATCTGTGATTGCCAAACTACTCCAAGATGCCAATTACAATGTGGAGAAAGCACAACAAGGTATGTTTTCAGCATGGTCTGTCCCCAGATTTAGTATATTGGGGAATCAGTCTAATATTAAGAGACAATACAATTCTTGTTTTGAGTCAAGGATTAAAATTCTGTAATTATGTAAAAGTACCTTTGTTACATAATTTCTAGCATACTGATTAAGGGCCACATAGTTTGCTTTGCCTTATTGTCACTAAGCTGGCTGGTAGGGTTAAAAACAAGCCAAATTACTATCCCATTAGATCCTTAATACTATCATTGCTTTTCTTAACTCCCCTCAAGACTTCTAATACTTAGATTAAGATAGGACAGGGCAGGGGCAAGGGAGGACGGTACCAGATGACTCTAGAAACAGTTTAGCCTGTTGACCTACAGGATGTCATGGATGCTGCGTTGCTCCTTCATCTGTCATCTGTTCTTGTTTACATGAAGAGCATGACAGCTTCCTTTTCAAATTTCTTTAAGACAAGAATATAGGTGGGAAAGAGTAGGCTAAAGTTTTACTAATACTAGCACTGCAGATACCTCCCGCTTCCATACTATAAAGAATTCGTATACATTAGTGGGGCAAATCACTGTTATCAAGGAGATTTTGTTACCATACATAAATGTTATTCCGTAGAGCAGATTACAAAGCAGTTGTACAAAATGATGGATGGGAGAAATAAAAGTGCATTTTTATAATGTCAAGCTATTGCATATGTTAAGTATGAAAGCTCAAGTAACTTTGCTGTCTAGCTACCTAAGTCTTTTAAAGCTGAGGCTATCTTGTGTATATCTTTTCCATATTATAAATAGAATCCTCCTTAAATTATAGGAATTGTCTTTCTGGATGAAGTAGATAAGATTGGCAGTGTGCCAGGCATTCATCAGTTACGGGATGTAGGTGGAGAAGGCGTTCAGCAAGTAAGCAGTTGAATATTTTGTTCAAGCCCACTAAAAGGAAGGGAATACATCAACCTCCCAAATATTGTACGTTTGGTTTCACATTCAATTAGATTCTGTTTTGTTTATTTCTTCCACCCCCAAACTCCGCATATCATTTTGAAATAGTTTAGATCCTAAAAGAAAGTTGTTGACAATTTGAAATAGCAAATTACCTTGTTAGGAAATTTAAAATATTTTGAAGAACAGAAAAAATGAAATTTAATCTTTGTGTTTTTTTTTTAATTCCTCAAAGGCCCAGTTAAATATTTCTAGAAGACTCTTGAAGAAAGTTATGATTCTAACTAGACATGAATGAACTATGTACATGCTTCTTATTCCTTCCACTTAGTTAGAAGATAGGTATAAAATAATGTTTAATTCCTTGCAGAGCCATAATTGAAGTCACAATGATCTGTTGGCCAACTTGACCTTTTAATGGTAACTAATTATGACATAAACTATTAAAGAGTGAGGAAGATTGTTTCACTTTTTGACAGAGACATAGAAAGGTATAATCACACTTAGGTGCTGGAAATTTTTTTTTATAAAAGCATCTCCAAATATAGGTAGTCTCAAAGTTTAATACTATAAGTGGAATAGAATTATAATTTATGTGAAAGACATCTTCAACTATTTTCTAATTTTGAATGTTCCCACCGTGTTTGAACACCATTTTATACAGTCATAATTCTGTGTTTATGTCAGAATTACGTCTTTACTATCAAAAAAAACCTGTTAGGTTGACTGTTTTCCTGAATTGCATCAAGTTCTATAACCATTTCAAATAAATGTATTAATTATTAATGTGATAAATGCATTAGATTTTCTTGTTATAGAAATGTGGGAGGTTCATTAGTTATGTTCATTGACCATAATCACACATTGTTTTCCCCATTGAATCCCATTGTCTAAAGTATAATAAATAATGCACTTGATATGGTGATGCTATAAATCATTTGTTTTTTATTTAGGGCTTATTAAAACTACTAGAAGGCACAATAGTCAATGTTCCAGAAAAGAATTCCCGAAAGCTCCGTGGAGAAACAGTACAAGTTGATACAACAAACATCCTGTTTGTTGCATCTGGTGCTTTCAATGGTTTAGACAGAATTATCAGCAGGAGGAAAAATGAAAAGGTAAGTTTTTCTGAGGGGTTACTAGAAGGATAGAGAGCATTTAAAGGATGTAAACTCAGTTTCCATTCTCATATCTGCAGGCTACCCGTCATAGTTTTAATTATAAGAGTTGAGTTTTCTTAGAGCATATCAGAAATATACAGGGAAGGGTGCAGTGACTCACACCTGTAATCCCAGTTCTTTGGGAGGCCAAGGCGGGCAGATTGCCTGAGCTTAGGAGTTCAAGACCAGCCCGACCAACATGAAACCCTGTCTCTACTAAAGATACAAAAAATTAGCCTGTAGTGGGCACCTGTAATCCCAGCTACTCAGGAGGCTGAGGCAGGAGAATCACTTGAACCTGGGAGGTGGAGGTTGCAGTGAGCTGAGATCACGCCACTGCACTCCAGCCTGGGTGATAGAGGGAGACTCCATCTCAAAAAAAAAAAAAAGAAGTATACAGTAAGTCCTCACTTAACGTCATCCCATAGGTTCTTGGAAACTGCAACTTTAAGCGAAATGACATGTAACAGACTAATTTTTCCTCATCAATTTAATAAGGAAATTATGTTGAACAAAATGACATTATTGGAGGACATGTTGTATGTTTCGTTTAAAGTTGCAGTTTCCAAGAACCTATCAACGATGTTAAGTGAGGACTTAGTGTATTTCTAGTTTTTAAAACTTCAGAGTAGGCTGGGCGCGGTGGCTCACGCCTATCATCCTAGCACTTTGGGAGGCCGAGGTGGGTAGATCATGAGGTCAGAAGATCGAGACCATCCTGGCTAATATGGTGAAACCCTGTCTCCACTAAAAATACAAATATTAGCTGGGCATGGTGGCAGGCGCCTGTAATCCCAGCTACTCGGGAGGCTGAGGCAGGGGAGTCACTTAAAACCCAGGAGGCAGAGGTTGCAGTGAGCCGCGATTGTGCCACTAAGCCACTGCACTCCAGCCTGGGTGACAGAGCAAGACTCTGTTTCAAAAATTAAAAAAAAAAAAAATAACTTCAGAGTAGTAAATGGAAAAATTTCTAACTAAATATCATCTATATATGGACTTTGCTTTTTTTTTGGAGACGGAATCTCGCTTGTCACCAGGTTGGAGAGCAGTGGTGCGATCTCGGCTCACTGCAACCTCCGTCTCCTGGGTTCAAGCGATTCTTGTGTCTCTGCTTCGTACGTAGCTGGGATTACAGGCACACGCCACCACACCCAGCCAATTTTTGTATTTTTATTTATTTTATTTTATTTTATTTTATTTTTTGACACAGAGTCTCGCTCTGTCCCCCAGGCTGGAGTGCAGTGGCACGATCTCGGCTCACTGCAAGCTCCGTCTCCTGGGTTCAGGCCATTCTCCTGCCTCAGCCTCCCGAGTAGCTGGGACTATAGGCGCCTGCACCGCACCTGGCTAATTTTTTGTATTTTTAGTAGAGACGGGGTTTCACCGTGGTCTCGATCTCCTGACCTTGTGATCCACCCGCCTCGGCCTCCCAAAGTGCTGTGATTACAGGCGTGAGCCACCACGCCCGGCCATATTTTTAGTAGAGACGAAGTTTCACCATGTTGGCAAGGATGGTGTTGATCTCCTGACCTCATGATCCACCCACCTCGGCCTCCCAAAATTCTAGGATTACAGGCATGAGCCACCACACCCAGCCTGTATGGTCATTTTAAAAGTGTAACTTGATGAGTTCAACTTAATATTTTATCTGGGGAGTTCATTATTGAAGGTAGTTACTGTATCAGTACAATTTCTATTCATTCCCCCTGCCCAATTCACTGGTGCCCAGTAAAGTTTATCTCCGTTGCCCTTGCTCATAGAGTTTACCATAGATCACTGCTGACGTTCACCAGTGGAGGGGAGCATTTTGGCAGATACAGGAAGGATTATGATCCCACCTAGTGTTATAGGTGTTTCTTCTTATAACCCCTGCTTTTAATTGGGACTGGGACTTGTTTCTTCATATCCTCATAGTACATGCCCAGTACTTATTTTTTGATTGAGTACAACAAAATGTAATGTCAGCATAGTGGCAGGAAGCCCAGAAAACACCTGTATTTTCCATGGTTTTGTAGTTTGCATAATAGCACAAGTGATCGCATTTATATTACATAACATTCTATTTGAAATCTTCATGTCATAGATCAGCTGTGTGCTATATTGCTTGATGTAAGTCTTCTTGGCCTTGAATGTACTAGTTTAAGTAATAGGTTAGTAGTAGTAAAAAACAATAATCATAATGCTGCTAATGGTACGGTTGTCCATGGTAGTTCCTTTGCCTAGCCTAGGTGAGGAAACACTTTTAAAAATACTAACCGTGCCACGTAATTACTGTTATTCCTCAGTACCAGGCCTTTTTCAGCATGGATATGGTTAGATTTTTGTTTTTCTACTAATTTATGCAAAATTTCAATAGCAGCCAAAACATAATATGAAAATTTGTTTTTTTGTGTCATTGAAATACTGCATAAATTAGCCTAACAAATTAGAAAGAAGAAATTATTTCTTTGGGTGTGTGTGTGTGAGAGCGATAACCCTGTATTTGAAACTCTGTAACTAAAAGCAAAGACCATGTTCTGATGTTTATTTATAATTAATATTTCATACTTCCAAAAAGGATTTGAAGCTAGAAACATGTAGGACAGAAGGTTTGAAAGTAATGTCAGAAAAAGAATCAGAAGTACACAGAAGGAAGGTTTAAGTTGTAATTCTGATTTGTTGAGAATTAGGTCACTCCATTTAGCTGTGAACTTTATTAATGAAAATTAGGGGAGCAGTCATAGGCTCTAATTCTTATTACTTTGACTGAAGCAAGCTCTATATGCCTTCCATATGCTCTAGTTCTTATTACCTGGCCCCACCTCCTAATAATACACAGGATTTCAACATACAAATTTGGGGACACTTAAATATTCAGTCCATTGCAGACAGAGTTTTTGAGACAGAGTCTTGCTCTGTCGCCCAGGCTGGAGTGCAGTGGCATGATCTCAGCTCATTGCAACCTCCACGACTCTGAGGTTCAAGCAATCCTTCTACCTCGGCCTCCCGAGCAGCCGGGATTATAGGTGAACACCACCACGCCCAGCTACTTTTTGTATTTTTAATAGAGACACGGTTTCACCATGTTGGCCAGGCTGGTCTCAAGCTCCTGACCTCAACTGATTAGCCTGCCTCAGCCTCCCAAAGTGCTGAGATTACAGGCATGAACCACCGTGTCCAGCCTGCAAACAGATTTTTAGCTTAGGCTATGTTTGCACATATCACGTACTTCTCTTGTTCTTTTGACAAAAGCTATATGACATGACAAAATTAAGCTTTCTGAGAATTGCCTGGAGTACAGTTCGTTTATGTTGACTGAAATGAGATCCATATGCCTTTATATACCCAACCTTGTTCAGCAAAGTTAGCGTTCATTTTATTTTTTATGTTTTTGAGGACTCTAGCTTTGCAAAATTTAGCATTCTTGTTTGATGTCATTCTTACATTTTTTTGTAACATCTAAATTATTCTAACTATGTATGCAGACCAAATCATAATTTTAGAAGAATCATGATTTAGCAGTGACTTAAGACACTTACAGATAATTTTCTCATTAGGCTGCTTGTACCTCCATATTTATAGTTTTTATACCTTTTGGAAAAACCACACTCATCTAGAAGTCTTGAATAAACCCTGCAACCTTATTATCTGAGTTCTAAGGGACTCCCTTTGTAGTTATTATATGCTTTTATTAGAATTCATTCTTTGAGGGTTGGTTATTACATAGCGGTTACGTTCTCAATTCTGAAGGCAGACAGGGCAGACCTGAGTTCAAATTCTGGCTTTGCCACTTACAGCAATAAGATTTTGGTCAAGATATTTAACCTCTCAGCCTGTTTTTTTCCTTTGTAAAATGTAAATGATAATAAAATCTTCTTCATAGAGTTGTTACAAAGATCATATGAAATATGTATGAAGAGTACTTAATACACTATCATTTGATTCTACTATTTATAATATGCATCATTTCTTTGGCAGTATCTTGGATTTGGAACACCATCTAATCTAGGAAAAGGCAGAAGGGCTGCAGCTGCTGCAGACCTTGCTAATCGAAGTGGGGAATCAAATACTCACCAAGACATTGAAGAAAAAGATCGGTTATTGCGTCATGTGGAAGCCAGAGATCTGATTGAGTTTGGCATGATTCCTGAGTTTGTGGGACGGTTGCCTGTGGTGGTTCCATTGCATAGCCTAGATGAGAAAACACTTGTACAAATACTAACTGAGCCAAGAAATGCTGTTATTCCTCAGTACCAGGCCTTATTCAGCATGGATAAGGTTAGATTTTTATTTTTTGTACTTAGTTATTTTTTATTTTCTTGCTATTGAAATTCTACATAAATTAACCTAACAACAAAAACAAATTCTGCTCATCTAGAATACCAGCCTATTCCTTACTAAATATGGATCTAGGAATCAAGGAAGGCATATTGTATTATGTTAGAATTTAGGAGTTGTTTTTATTTCTTCTGAATTAAAACCATCATTATAGCCTAAAGCCCAAGAAAAATAATGCCATTAGCCTACCTCAACACCTCCAAGCCAGACATACAGGATTGTCCTTTCAGTCTTGATATTCTAAATGCTTTTGTTGTGACATACTGTGTGTATTTTTATATTCTTTTGCCAAAATAGAGTTTTATTAATCCCACATATACGTCTCTGTAGCAAACACCTAGCCCACATACCCAATTAGATAACAAATGGTTTGGGTTTTGTGAACTTTGTGTCTCTAAATATCAGTCTCCTCTTCTCTATTGCCACTGCCACAAGTCAAGCCCGTTTGTTATTATTCACCTTGACTCATGCATTTAATTCCTAATTGGTCTGCCTGTCTCATGTCTGTCTGTGACTACCACCACCAAAATATCATTATCTTCCTCTTTACTTCTAGAATGGATCATTGAGCACAGTGCCCAACAAATAGATATTAAGTTCTTAAATATTTATTGAATAATTAAAGACAAGGCTAATGTTTTTACTCCCTTGCTTAAAATCCTCCAGTGGTTCCCTAGTCTTATTTAGATGCCCCCCCCTTTGCGGCTCCCTTAGCTCCATGTGCATACACTGGACTATAAGTGCTAGTTTGCTAATCTGTCATCTGTCATCACACAATAGACTGTAAGTTGCTTGGCAAAGATGATGTTTATTCATCATTAAATCCCTAGTATGTAACACACAGAGGTTTGGTAAATGTTGAAAAAAATCCTAGGGAGTCTGTGTTAATCTAGAAAACATCTTCAGAACAAACTTGCAATTCATAATACTGATACTGTCATGGGTTAATTGATAGAAACAAGTGCTTCTTGAAGGCAGGGTTCCAAAACACCATGAATTGTGCCCTCACCTAATGGTACATTTTCTGGAGGTAGAAATTAACAATAAAAGTTATAATTTATTTTTAATGTATTTGTAGTGTGAACTGAATGTTACTGAGGATGCTTTGAAAGCTATAGCCAGATTGGCACTAGAACGAAAAACAGGTGCACGAGGCCTTCGGTCCATAATGGTGAGTTGGCATTATTTTCTAAAAACAATTATTTCTTGGTCTAAGTTTTGAGTATATTAAGCTTCCTTGTTTTTCTTTTGGAAAACAGATACATTTTCTTTTGGAAAATCTATCTATCTATCTATCTATCTATCTATCTATCTATCTATCTATCGAGAGAGACAGACACAGACAGACAGAGTCTCAAAGGAGTGCAGTGGTACGATCTTGGCTCGCTGCAATCTCTACCTCTCAGGCTGAGGCTCAAGCAGTCTTCCCACCTTAGCCTCCCAAGTAGCTGGGACTATAGGCAAGAACCACCACACCTGGCTAATTTTTGTATTTTTAGTGGAGATGGGGTTTCACCATGTTGGCCATTCTGGTCTCGAACTCCTGATCTCAGGTGATCTGCCTGCCTCAGCCTCCCAAAGTGCTGGGATTACAGGCATGAGCCACCACGCCTGGACTGAAATGTTTGTTTTTTTTTTTTTTTAATCACAGTAGATTATATTTTGCTTTTTCTCAAAAAGGAACTTCAAGGTGTTTGCAACAAAGGACATGGAAATAATATTAATGAAACAGAAAATCAGGATTGGGCCTGGTAACTCACATCTATAAATCCCAACACTTTGGGAGGCCGAGGCAGGAGGATTGCTTGAGCCCAGGAGTTTGAGACCAGCCTGGCAACATAGACCTTCATCTCTCAAAAAAAAATTAAAAAAAAAAACAAGAGGCCGGGCATGGTGGGTCATGCCCATAATCCTAGCACTTTGGGAGGCTGAGTCGGGCGGATTGCCTGAGCTCAGGTGTTCAAGACCAGCCTGGGCAACATGGCGAAACCCCATCTCTACTAAAAATACAAAAAAGCCAGATGTGGTGGCTTATGCCTGTAATCCCAGCTATAATCCCAAATATATATAAACATATATGTTTATATATATTTGTTTTGTTTCTTTTTTTTTTTTTTTTTTTTTTTTTTTTTTTTGAGACGGAGTCTCGCTCTGTCGCCCAGGCTGGAGTGCAGTGGCCGGATCTCAGCTCACTGCAAGCTCCGCCTCCCGGGTTCACGCCATTCTCCGGCCTCAGCCTCCCGAGTAGCTGGGACTACAGGCGCCCGCCACCTCGCCCGGCTAGTTTTTTGTATTTCTTAATAGAGACAGGGTTTCACCGTGTTAGCCAGGATGTTTTCGATCTCCTGACCTCGTGATCCGCCCGTCTCGGCCTCCCAAAGTGCTGGGATTACAGGCTTGAGCCACCGCGCCCGGCCCTTGTTTTGTTTCTTTTTCCTTGAGTGAATGGATTCCAATTTGTGATATATAGAATAAAAGCGGCCGGGCGCGGTGGCTCAAGCCTGTAATCCCAGCACTTTGGGAGGCCGAGACGGGCGGATCACGAGGTCAGGAGATAGAGACCATCCTGGCTAACACGGTGAAACCCCGTCTCTACTAAAAAATACAAAAAATTAGCCGGGCGAGGTGGCGGGCGCCTGTAGTCCCAGCTACTCGGGAGGCTGAGGCAGGAGAATGGCGTAAACCCGGGAGGCGGAGCTTGCAGTGAGCTGAGATCCGGCCACTGCACTCCAGCCCGGGCGACAGAGCCAGACTGTCTCAAAAAAAAAAAGAATAAAAGCACTTGTGTGTAATCAGTTTTCAATGTGATTCATTACTTTTTATTTCTTTAGGAAAAGCTGTTACTAGAACCAATGTTTGAAGTCCCTAATTCTGATATCGTATGTGTGGAGGTTGACAAAGAAGTAGTAGAAGGAAAAAAGGAACCAGGATACATCCGGTAAAGTGCATTTTCAAGCCAGAACAGATATAAAATTTAAGATCAGCTCCTCATTGCTATGTTGATTGGTTTGTCATTTTAAAATTACATAAAAATTGTTATATCGTGTATTTGTAAGGGAAGCAGTAATCTCAGGATTTCTGTAGAAAAATCTAATTTGGGTATTTTAAAAAAATAGTATTTTGTGAGTCTTTGAAAGTTGATCTTCAGGCCAGGTGTGGTGGCTCACGCCTGTAATCCCAGCACTTCGGGAGGTGGAGGCGGGCGGATCATGAGGTCAAGAAATAGAGACCATCCTGGCCAACATGGTGAAACTCTGTTTCTACTGAAAATACAGAAATTAGCTGGGTGTGGTGGTGCGTGTCTGTAGTCCCAGCTACTTGGGAGGCTGAGGCAGGAGAATCACTTGAACCTGGGAGGCAGAGGTTGCAATGAGCCAAAATCACACCACTGCACTCCAGCCTGGGCGACAGAGTGAGACTCGGTCTCAAAAAATATATTAAAAAAGGCAATGGGCTGGATTTGGCTAGCAAGCTACAGTTTCCTAACCCCTGATTTATTCAATAAATGTTTACTATACAATGTTTGACATTAATGTTACCTACACAAAAACTAGGTTTCTGTTAAACTCAATCATAAGGTATGTTATGTTTTATGTTTGCTTATGTTCCAGGATAACTTTAGAGGCAGTTGATTTGTTTTGAACAACCTTAGTTATCCAGAGAGATATAATCTCTTATTTTTATTGTTTAATGATGTCGACATGTGGCTTTTAAAGGAATTGTGGTGATCTGAATTATCATTTTTACTAGTTTGAGACAAGATGGATTTGGTCAGAAGTAGCTTCTTTACCATATACATATGCTAAATACAAGCATTTGAGTTGAAATAACAGATGATGCTTTCTTGGAGAAAAGGATTTTTTAAGCCTTCACAATTGAAGCCATGTTGTCCTTTTTTTTTCAGTAATTAATTTGTCAGGGAAAATGTTGGGAAGTTTATTTACTTGGTTGTATAGTCTGTTTCCCATATTACTAAGCAATCTTTTTATTTATTTTTTTTTTTTGAGACGAAGTCTCGCTTTGTCACCCAGGCTGGAGTGCAGTGGTGTGATTTCGGCTCACTGCAACCTCCACCTCCTGGGTTCAAGTGATTCCCCTGCCTCAGCCTCCTGAGTAGCTGGGACTACAGGCATGCATCACCACACCCGGCTAATTTTTGTATTTTTAGTAGAGATGGGGTTTCACCATGTTGGCTAGGCAGGTCTTGAACTCCTATCTCAAGTGATCAGCCCTGCTTGGCCTCCCAAAGTGCTGGGATTACAGGTGTGAGCCACTGTGTCTGGTCTAAGCAATCTTAATATTAAAAGTGCTCCTAGTATTTTCTATTATCGTGGCTTTCTTAGCTAGGGGAGGTTACTTTGCTGTTTTGATTTTAAAGATCACGTTTACCTCCATTTTTTATTTAAAAAAACAAACAAACATGGCTTTTCATTGTAGGGCTCCAACAAAAGAATCTTCTGAAGAGGAGTATGACTCTGGAGTCGAAGAAGAAGGATGGCCCCGCCAAGCAGATGCTGCAAACAGCTAAACTGTCATATTGCTGTCCTGTATATACAGCTTTTCCTTCTTTTGTTTAGGATCATAACTGTCTCTACAGTCTGATATTAAAGGCATTGGATCTATCTTGGATATCATACATGGTCAGAGAAGCCTTTAGGATAAGAATCAGATCATGTATATTATTGTAACATCACATTGATTTTACAGAGGACGTTATGTGGACTTTAATGACACAGTGTTTAGAGATAAAATGTACATTATTTTGGTTCAGTTTTTTAAAAACTATGCTTTAACAAAATTCTTAGGAATTCTTTTAAGCAATGCAGGTATTTCAATAACTGTAGATGTTACAATAATGTTACTCTACAAATGGGAAAATAAATTCTTTAAAATTGAATATTGCGATACCATTCTTTAGTGTTACTTTTTTACCCACATGTGTTTCTGAAAATATTGGAATTATATTCATCTTGAAAATTGGACCAGGTAGGCCAGGCACGGTGGCTCATGCCTGTAATCCCAGCACTTTGGGAGGCCAAGGCAGGTGGATCACAAGGTCAGGAGTTCAAGACCAGCTGGCCAAGATGGTGAAACCCCATCTCTACTAAAAATACAAAAAGTTAGCCGGGCGCGGTGGCAGGCGCCTGTAATCCCAGCTACTCGGGAGGCTGAGGCAGGGGAATCGCTTGAACTCGGAAGGGAGAGGTTACAGTGAGCTGAGATCGCGCCACTTCTCTCCAGCCTGGGCGACAGAGTGAGACTCCGTCTCCGGGGAAAAAAAAAAAAAACTGGACCAGGTAGTTAAAAATTTCATTGAAAAATACCCTGAAGAACTATATTTTGATAATTGGTTTAGCTGTATTCCTAGTCTTATCTGCTAATGCATGATAGCATGACACTAACTTCCCAATTGGTTCTGTAAAAAAGGCGATTTTCTTACCAAGTTATCTGATTTACCATCTTTTTTTTTTTTTCTTTTTTTTTTTAAAAAAAACAGACTCTCGCTCTGTCCCAAGCTGGAGTGCAGTGGTGCGAGCTTGGCTCACTGCAACCTCCGCCTCCCAGGTTCAAGCAATTTTCCTGCCTCAGCCTTCCGAGTAGCTAGGATTATAGGTGCACACCACCATACCCGGCTAATTTTTGTATTTTTAGTAGAGACAGGGTTTCACCATGTTGGCCAGGCTAGTCTCTAACTCCTGACCTTGTGATCTGCTGGCCTCGGCCTCAGATCACAGGCATGAGCCACCGCACCCAGCCTTAATTACCATCTTTAATCCATTTTAGTACTATGGGGTGAGTAAATGGAATTGAAGTCTGGCTTAAATCTTCAGAAAGTTATATATTTATATTATTTTATTTTATTTTATTGAGACAGAGTCTCGCTGTGTCACCCAGGCTGGAGTGCAGTGGCACGATCTTGGCTCACTGCAACCTCTGCCTCCCGGGTTCAAGCGATTCTCATGCCTCAGCCTCCTAAGTAGCTGGGACTACAGGTGTGCACCACCACACCTGGCTAATTTTTTGTATTTTTAGTAGTGACGGGGTTTCGCTATGTTGCCCAGGCTGTCTCTCCTGAGCTCAGGCAATCTGGCCACCTTGGCCTCTGACAGTGCTAGGATTACAGGCATGAGCCACCGCATCCAGCCAGAAAGATACATATCTAATTCTATAAATAGCATGCAGTGTCAGTCATGGTAACAGCCATGTGCTGACCTAAATAAAATTTCCTGATATTGTGTACTTAACCTGAAGTACTGAGCTAGTTTTTTTTTTTTGTTTTTGGTGCTGAACATTTTGGTCTAATTCTTTTGCTTCTTAGAACATTAAAAAAAAAAAATCTTTGTTTTGCTATCAGCCAAAGTAAATGTGTTCACACTAACATATAAGTTACTAACCTTCATTATACAGCAAAGGTAAAAAGTGGTGGGATATTTGGGGTCTTAATGAAAATTGTATCATTTAACTCCATAAATATTAAAATATTTGGGTATCTTTTAAGCTTTTTTTTCTTTCCTTCTATAATGGTGGTACAAGTTCTATATTCATTCAGTTTAATCTCATTCGAAATTGTTTAAATCAGAATACATGTAAATATTTGTCCTTATTTTTTGGTTTATAGACTGTTGAGCTTTCCTTTTACACTGTTTTTTTTTTTTTTTTGGAAAAATTGAAGCTATTAGGAAATTCTAAATCTTGTTGATGAAGATTTGGGCTTTCTATGATATAATTAATAAAAGGAATGTGTAGTATTTATGGCTGGGTAGGACCAGAAATGCACTTTGTATTACAGTGTTAAGGCTGGTTGCTATAGTATGGAACAGAAACACCTCTCCTTGGTCTCCCTAGTAATGGTTCAAGTTCTCCCCAGGAAGTCTTACGTATTATAACTTTGTTCATTATCTTTCCCGTATAGCATCATTTTCCTTTTTGTAGAGTGGAAATCAGACTAGCTGCTAAACATATTAAGGGTAATCCTCCAGAAATGGACTGGGAGGCATTTTAGTCACAACAACTTACATTTGACTTTGGAAGTTGTTAACAAAGCATAATCGATGTTTTTAAATCAAACGCAATTTGTATCTTGGAACTTACATTTTGACATTTGAATAAAACAAAAAGACTAAATGAAAAGGCAACGTGGTGGTGTGTCCATCCTGCAATGGTGCAGGAACACTCTGCATTGACAACAACAAGCACAGCCAAACAGTGCTAAATTTAAAGGGGCACAGATGTCATATGAGCTGCTTCATTTTAGGGATTGGTTAATCCTTGGCACTTCCATATCAGATAAATTCTAGCTGTAGATTCCACAGACAATGTTTATTAAACATTTATCGAAAACCCTTACTTAAATGTCCTGCACGGAACTTCACACTAGGGACACAGACCAAGCTTTTCAGGAATCTTACTAGTCTTGTAGGGGAAACAAAATACAAACTAAAGTGTATTTTAATAGTGGAAGTGAGATAGGTACCAGGTGTGGTGACATAGAAAGTGATGGCCCAGATAGGTCTGGAAGAACAAGTAGAAATTTGCCAGAAAAGAATAATGAGAACTAAATCAAAATCTCAGAAGTGTAAAACAACAACTTGGAAGCTGTAGGAGGTAAGAAATAAGCAACAACTGTAACTTCTTGTTAATACTCTGAAATGACCATTTAATATTCTCCTCTCTCCGTGTAGCTAAGGACCTTGCTTCACATTTCATTGAAAAACCATTGATGGAATTCATCATCCCACCCCCTATAAGCTATCTACTCCATCACTCAACCTTTCTCTCTAGTTACAACTGAAGTATCCCTCCTACAAAACTCAGTTACTCCACATATGCTTAGGGTCTCATCATCCCCTCTCGTTTCTCAAGGCCTTTAGTTCTTTTGATCATGTCTCTCCGATAGTATCTGTGTCCTTCCTTCTGAATTATTCCCAGTGGCAGCCAAACACTGCTTAGTATTTCCTGTCCTATAGCAAATCTCCCAAGCTTATTCACATATCTTTTTAACTACACCATAAATTCCACAAGGATGGTGACCCAACCTGTTTTATTAACTATAACCAGCATCTACCATAGTGCTACATATATCTGGTACCCCATACATTTTTTTTTTTTTTTTTGAGACGGAGTCTCGCTCTGTCCCCCAGGCTGGAGTGAAGTGGCCGGATCTCAGCTCACTGCAAGCTCCACCTCCCGGGTTCACGCCATTCTCCTGCCTCAGCCTCTCGAGTAGCTGGGACTACAGGCGCCTGCCACCGTGCCCGGCTAGTTTTTTGTATTTTTTAGTAGAGACGGGGTTTCACTGTGTTAGCCAGGATGGTCTCGATCTCCTGACCTCGTGATCCGCCCGTCTCGGCCTCCCAAAGTGCTGGGATTACAGGCTTGAGCCACAGCGCCCAGCACCCCATACATTTTTAAAGAAATAATGAATGGCCATGCATGGTGGCTCATGCCTGTAATCCCAGCACTTTGGGAGGACGAGGCAGGTGGATCACCTGAGGTCAGGAGTTTAAGACCAGCCTGGCCAAACATGGTGAAACCCCATCTCTACTAAAAGTACAAAAATTGGCCCGGCGTGGTGGCGGGCACCTGTAATTCCAGCTACTCAGGAGGCTGAGGATGGAGGATCACTTGAGCCTGGGAGGTGGAGTTTGCAGTGAGCTGAGATCGCGCCACTGCACTCCAGCCTGAGTGACAAGAGCGAGACTCCATCTCAAAAAAACAATAATGGAATGTCTTGTATGCCAGGTTAAATTGTAAGTTTTTACAGAAGTTAGTGGGGGATTATTGAAAGAGTTTTAGCAGTGGAGTTGAACGTGATCAGATGTGCATTTTAAGTTGTTGGGGACAGGCTCAGGAAAATGAATGGAAGGAAACGTGACTGGAGGCCTACTTAAGAATATTTCTCCAGCACTTGCCCTTCTATCTCCTAGCTCAACAATTTCCTCCACTTTTTCAGGTTAGTTCTCATCAGCATACAAACAAAACAACTTCCTTGAACTCACATCCTCTCCACCTGTTGCCCAGCTGCTTCTCTTCTGCAGCACAAGTAAAAGATGGTCTTGCATTTTCCGATTCCCTTCCAGGATTTGACTCTTCTTTTTAAGAGATGGAGGGGTCTCACTCTCACCCAGGCTGGAGTGCAATGGCACTATCATGGATCACAACATCCTCCAACTCCTGGGCTCAAGCCATCCTCCCACATTGGCCTTCCAAAGTGTTGGGATTACAGGCATGAGCCACTGCACCTGGCTCCAGGCTTTGACTATTAAATGAGAAGCTGTCAGAAGGTTTTGCACAAAGAAGTGATACTTGGTTACAGTGTGAGAGAACACTTAAGAGGATAAGGAAAAAATACATGATGGCTTGGGCTAAGGTAGTGGAAGTGGAAGAAGTGAATAGGTAGGTATTTTTGCAAATCTGATTAAAAGCGTTATCCTGTGTTCAGTGGGGAAACTCATTATAAAAATGTCTTATCCCTAAATTTATAAATTTAATAGTTCAATAAAATGCCAATATTTTATAAGCAATATATATTTTTATAAATTATAAATAATAAAATTACAAATTATAAATATATATAAAATGTCAAAATTTTACATTGAAGTCAGGCAAGTTGATTCTCAAGTTCATATGGGAGAATGGTGAACAAGCAAAATGAAAAAGTACACTTACATAGTGCTTAATGCAACAACTCAGGTGGATACTACAATCAAGTCTTTATGCTCATAAAGAAACTGAAGACCTGGCTCAAATTTGGGGGTTTTACAGTTTCAATATTGTTACTAAAAAGGGGTCCCAATCCAGATCCTGAGAGAGGGTGATATGATTTGGGTCTGTGTCCCCACTCAAATCTCATCTTGAATTGTACTCATAATTCCCATGTGTTGTGGGAGGGACCCAATGGGAGATAATTGAATCATGGGGGTGGTTCCCCCCATACTGTTCTCATGGTAGTGAATAAGTCTCATGAGATATGATGGTTTTATAAAGAGGAGTTTCCCTCCACAAGCTCTTTTGCCTGCTGCCATCCCTGTAAGATGTGACTTGCTCCTCCTTGCCTTCTGCCATGATTGTGAGGCCTCCCCAGCCATGGGGAACTGTAAGTCCATTAAACCACTTTCGTTTGTAAATTGCCCAGTCTTGAATATGTCTTTATCAGCAGCATGAAAACAGACTAATACAGTAAATTGGTACCAGTAGAGCATGGCACTGCTAAAAAGATACCTAAAAATGTGGAAGCAACTTTGGAACTGGGTAACAGGCAGAGGTTGGAACAGTTTAGAGGGCTCAGAAGAAGATAGGAAAATGTTGGAAAGTTTGGAACTCCCTAGAGACTTGAACGGCTTTGACCAAAATGCTGATAATGATATGGACAATGAAATCCAGGCTGAGGTGGTCTCAGATGGAGATGAGTAACTCATTAGGAACTGGTGCAAGGGTGACTCTTGTTATGTTTTAGCAAAGAGACTGGCAGCATTTTGCTTCTGCCTTAGAGATCTGTGGAACTTTGAACTTAAGAGAGAGGATTTAGGGTATCTGGCAGAAGAAATTTTTAAGCAGCAAAGCATTCAAGAAGTGACTTGGGTGCTGTTAAAGGCATTACATTTTAAAAGGGAAACAGAACATAAAAGTTCAGAAAATTGGCAGCCTGACAATGCACTAGAAAAGAAAATCCCATGTTCTGAGGAGAAATTCAAGCCGGCTGCAGAAATTTGCATAAGTAACAAGGAGTTGAATGTTAATCTCCAAGACAATGGGGAAAATGTCTCCAGGGCATGTCAGAGACCTTTGCAGCAGCCCCTCCCAACACGGGCCCACAGGCCTAGGAGGGAAAAATGGTTTCATGGGCCAGGCCCAGGGTCCCTCTGCTGTGTGCAGTCTAGGGACGTGGTGCCCTGCATCCCAGCCACTCCAGTCATGACTAAAAGGGACCAAGGTACAGCTTGGGCTGTGGCTTCAGAGGGTGCAAGACCCAAGCCTTGACAGTTTCCACGTGGTGTTGAGCCTGCGGGTGCATAGAAATCAAGAAATGAGGTCTGGGGGCGGGTACACTGGCTCACGCCTGTAATCCCAGCATTCCCAATGATTGTGAGGACTCCTCAACCATGTGGAAGTATAAATCCATTAAACCTTTTTCCTGTATAAATTACCCAGTCTCAGGTATGTCTTTATTAGCAGCATGAAAACAGGCTAATACAGAAGGTCCTTGGATCTTGTGCAAGAAAGATTTCAGGGCAAGTCCACAGTACAAAGCAAAAGCAAGTTTATTAAGAAAGTAAAGTGGTGAAAGAATATCTACTCCATAGACAGTAGGGCATTCCCGAAAGTAAGAGGAGGACCTAGGTACAATGCTTGTTTACATCTAGGATAAAAAAAGATCATGGGGATATGTGCTCTGCCACAAGGGTTTGTGATAAAGAATTTTTTTTTTTTTTGAGATGGAGTCTCTCTCTGTGGTCCAGGCTGGAGTGCAGTGGCACGATCTTCGCTCACTGCAAGCTCTACCTCCCAGGTTCATGTCATTCTCCTGCCTCAGCCTCCCGAGTAGCTGGGACTACAGGCGCCCACCACCACGCCTGGCTAATTTTTTGTATTTTTGTTTAGTAGAGATGGTGTTTCACCGTGTTAGCCAGGATGGTCTCGATCTCCTGACCTCGTGATCTGCCCGCCTCGGCCTCCCAAAGTGCTGGGATTATAGGCATGAGCCACTGCGCCCAGCCTAATTTTTGAAATTACTGTATTTTGCAAGAATCAGTATTACTATCTTTAAAGCAAAATTAGGAACGCTTCTATTCTCAAAATATCAGGGTATCAGGACACTCCTAAGTATGGGTTTGTTTAGTAAACGTTATTAGCCTGTTCCCTTAACCATAAACATCTAGAGGCTAGGAATACCTAACTTCCTGGGAATGCAGCCAAGCAAGTCCCAGCTTCACTTTTCCTAGCCCTCACTCAAGATGGAGTCGCTCTGGTTCAAACACCTCTGACAATGACAATTTTGTACTACAGTTTTACAAGATGTCACCATTAGGGGAAACTGGGTAAAGGGTACACAGGATCTCCCTGTATTACTACTTCTCATATTCCATATGAATCTACAATTGTCTCAAAATAGTTTAATTTAAAAAATCTAATCATGTGGCACAGCCTTCTCTTTACCTCTTGTTTAAAACCAATTGCTTCCCATTGTTCATAAGATATGAGACCCCAGACATTAGGACTTCACTTCCACAGGATCACCAGACTCCTCTCAGAGTTCCATAACTGGCACTTTTTTTTTTTTTGGAGACAAGGTCTCACTGTGTTACCCAGAGTGCAGTGGTGTGATCTCAGCTCACTGCAACCTCTACCACCTGGGTTCAAGCAGTTCTCCTGCCTCAGCCTCCCTAGTAGCTGGGATTACAGGCACGCACCACCATGCCTGGCTAATTTTTGTATTTTAGTAGAGACAGGGATTCACCATATTGCCCAGACTGGCCTTGAACTCCTAAGCTCAGGCAATCCACCCGCCTCGGCCTCCCAAAGTGCTGGGATTACAGGCCAAAACAGGCATTCTATCAGTCTTCCCGCTAGACATGGTCCTGTAACCTAAGGCAGGTCCAGTCCCCTGTAGCTTGCAAATTCAAATAATAAGCACGAGAGAGGCAAAAAGAAAGTGACTGGCCACAGGCACGGTGGCTCACGACTGTAATTCCAGCACTTCGGGAGGCCGAGGCGGGTGAATCATGAGGTCAGGTGATCAAGACCATCCTGGCTAACATGGTGAAACACCGTCTCTACTAAAAATACAAAAAAATTAGCCGGTCGTGGTGGTGGGTGCCTGTATTCCCAGTTACTCTGGAGGCTGAGGCAGGAGAATGGCATGAACCCAGGAGGCAGAGCTTGCAGTGAGCAGAGATCTCGTCACTGCACTCCAGTCTGGGCAACAGAGGGAGACTGTCTCAAACAAACGAAAATGTGACTGGCCAGGTGCAGTGGCTCATGCCTGTAACCCCAGCACTTTGGGAGGCCAAGGTGGATGGATCACCTGAGGTAAGGAGTTTAAGACCAGCCTAGCCAACGTTGTGAAACTCTGTCTCTACTAAAAATACAAAAATTAGCCAGGCATGGTGGTGTGCACCTGTAATTCCAGCTACTTGGGAGGCTGAGGCAAGAGAACTACTTGAACCTGGCAGGCAGAGGTTGCAATGAGCTGAGATCGCGCCACTGCATTCCAGCCTGGATGACAAGAGCAAAGCTCCACCTCAAAAAAAAAAAAAAAAAAAAAAAGACTATTCCAGAGCTTGGCTGAGGAGAAGCAGTACAGTCTCCTGCCTTAAGGAAACCGCTTCAGCTTTCTCAGCAGAAAGTGAAGGCTTAAAAGGGGACTTAGGGCCAGGCGCAGTGGCTCACACCTGTAACCCCAGCACTTTGGGGGGCCGAGGTGGGCAGATCACCTGAGGCCAGGAGTTCGAGACCAGCCTGGCCAACACTGCGAAGCCCCATCTCTACTAAAAATACAAAACCACTAAAAATACAAAAATTAGTCGGGAGTGGCAGCGGGGGCCTGTAATCCCAGCAACTAGGGAGGCTGAGGCACCAAGAATAACTTGAAGTCATGATGCAGTGGTTGCAGTGGGTGAAGATCGCATCATTGCACTCCAGCCTGGGTGGCAGAGGGACTCTGTCTCAAAAAAAGAGGGTGGGGGGGCGCAGGACTTGGTTGACCTGGATGGCATGTAAGGGGGTTGGCAGGGGGGTGGGAGGGGAAACCAAGGAGGTGCTAGGACTATGGGACTTGCTCCTATGTATCTATTGGTGATCTGGTTGGCGCTATGGAGCCTGGGCGAAGGCAGGGGTGGGGGGGGAGGGGGACAGAGCTAGGTTGTAAATTGACAATTGTCCCCAGGCAATCCCCTGGTATGGGAAAGTTCCAGAGGTGCCTGGTTTAAGCTTCAGTCCTTGGAACTAATAAGCAAACACATTAGATAAGCTTACAGTGTAGACAGTTGTGGTGCAGAGAAGGTGAAGGTTAATTGGATTCCTTTTTTTTTTTTTTGAGACAGGTGTCACTCTGTCGCCCAGGGTGGAGTGCAGTGGCGCTATCGTGGCTCATTGCAGTCTTTACCTCCCAGGGCTCAGGTGATCCTCCCACCTCTGCCTCCCCAGTGGCTGGGACTACAGGCGCACGCTACCATGCCCGGCTACTTTTTAATATTTTTAGTAGAGCCAGGGTTTCACTATGTTGCCCAGACTGGTCTCAAACTCCAGTTCTCAAGCGATCCTGCCTGCCTTGGCCTCCCAAAGTGCTGGGATTACAGGCGTGAGCCACAGCGCCCACCCTATAATTGCATTCCTAAAGAGCTAAGTCGGAGGTGGGGGGAAACGAGAAAGGTAAAAATAGTTCATTTTTCTAAGAAAAATCTACTATCTACTATGGCCTTTGCACATGTTCCCATCTGCACTGTGCTTCCCTCTCTTTTTCTATTTAACTATTTATCTTCCAGATCTCAGCTGCAGCTGCAGTTCCTCAGGATAACCTCCAACTTCTCGAAGATACTCACCATGATTGATTAGTATGTTATACTAGGCAGGTAGTTCCATGAAGAGAAGATCTGTATCTCTCAGTCTTAGTGTATGCGCAGCGGGTAGCTCTGCACCTACGATCCTCAGTAAGAACAGTATTTATGAACTGAACGACCGAATGTTTAACCACTGCCCACTTACGCAAGAAGCCTTCCGGAGGGACAAGTCTACAGACGCCGCGCGTCGCAACAACGTCACTTCCGCCGGAAGGTTCTCATGAGGAACCACTCAGATTCCTGTCACTTCTCAAAGCATCTCCGTCGAAGACATGGCTCTGCCACCCTTTTTCGGCCAGGGTCGCCCAGGCCCACCGCCCCCGCAGCCGCCGCCTCCTGCTCCTTTCGGCTGTCCGCCACCGCCGCTGCCCTCCCCGGCTTTCCCGCCTCCTCTCCCCCAGCGGCCCGGCCCTTTTCCGGGGACCTCCGCCCCCTTCCTTCAGCCTCCGCTGGCTCTGCAGCCCCGAGCCTCCGCGGAAGCCTCCCGCGGCGGCGGCGGCGGCGGCGGCGCTGGCGCCTTCTACCCGGTGCCACCACCGCCGCTGCCTCCTCCGCCGCCCCAGTGCCGGCCCTTCCCGGGGACCGACGCCGGCGAGCGACCGCGGCCGCCGCCTCCCGGCCCGGGGCCGCCTTGGAGCTCGCGCTGGCCTGAGGCGCCGCCGCCGCCGGCCGACGTGCTCGGGGATGCGGCCCTCCAGCGCCTGCGCGACCGGCAGTGGCTGGAGGCGGTGTTCGGGACCCCGCGGCGGGCTGGCTGTCCGGTGCTCCAGCGCACGCACGCTGGGCCCAGCCTTGGCGAAGTGCGAGCGCGATTGCGCGGGGCTCTGCGCCTGGTGCGACGGCTGCGCGGCCTGAGCCAGGCCCTGCGCGAGGCCGAAGCCGACGGCGCGGCCTGGGCCTTGTTGTATTCCCAGGTGGGGCCGCTGCGCGCGGAACTGGCCGAGCGGCTACAGCCGTTGACCCAGGCTGCCTATGTGGGCGAGGCGCGGAGGAGGCTGGAGAGGGTCCGGCGCCGCCGGCTGCGGCTTCGCGAGAGGGCCCGGGAACGCGAGGCCGAGCGGGAGGCAGAGGCCGCGCGGGCAGTGGAACGCGAGCAGGAGATTGACCGCTGGAGGGTGAAGTGTGTGCAGGAGGTGGAGGAGAAGAAGCGGGTGAGAGCAGCGGCCGCGCATGGGGGTGGGAGTGGTGGTGGTTGGAACCTGGAGCACCAGGAGGCTTTAAACTTCCATTTCCCAGGGCTAAGGCTCTGTCCTTACGCGCAAAATGAAGCGACAGCTAACCTTCCCACCTCATACCACCATGTTAATTTTGTGTTAATGATGTACACAAAAGTTCAGGTGCACTGTAAAGTCCTGTAAACACAAAGTATAGGATTACACAGTGGCATTGCACGAATGACGGGTCTCCTCTATCCTGCTCCAACATTGTCCACTTACTTTCAAAACCAGTAAGTGTCTAGTTCCTTGTGTCTTGTGCTGCCCTAGGTGATTTTAAGAACACAAAATATAGGCCGGGCGCGGTGGCCCACGCCTGTAATCCCAGCACTTTGGGAGGCTGAGGCGGGTGGATCACTAGGTCAGGAGTTCAAGGCCAGCCTGGCCAAGATGGTGAAACCCCGTCTCTACTAAAAATATAAAAATTAGCCATGCCTGGTAGCGGGCGCCTGAAATCCCAGCTACTCGGGAGGCCGAGACAGGAGAATCGCTTGAACTCGGGAGGTGGAGATTGCAGTAAGCTGAGATCACACCACTGCACTCCAGCCTGGGCGACAGAGCAAGACTGTCTCAAAAAAAATAAATAAAAAGAGAGCTTTGGGACCCTACCTCAAGGAATATATATATACTCTAATTAGCTGATGGGGCAATAGTGATTCCCCGAGGATTCCTTTTTTACAAGTTTCAAACCATGTATCCCCAGGTTCAGCAATAGTGTTTCGGAGCATTTACTATATATACTAGGAGCTGTGCTAAGGTCGTTACATATACCAGATCTTGAATCTTTATAACAGCCTTGAGAAGTAGGAAGTATTATGCTAATTTTACAGGTTAGGAAGTTGAGGCATAGAGAGGTTAACTTGCCAACGGTCACACAACCAGTTTGTGGCAGTTTCCCATATTTGATCCCAAGTTGTCTAATTCCAAAGCGTGTTGATCTCAGCCTCTTTAGGGCCAGGGTAAAACTGAAAATTGTTCAGATAGTTCTCTAAGGCATTTTCTTTTTTTAAATTTTTTCTTTTTTTATTTTTTTGAGACGGAGTTTTGCTCTTGTTGCCCAGGCTGGAGTGCAATGGCACAATCTAGGCTAACCACAACCTCCACCTCCCGTGTTCAAGCAATTCTCCTGCTTCAGCCTCCTGAGTAGCTAGACTTACAGGCATGCGCCACTACACCCCAGCTAATTGTATATTTTTAGTAGAGACAGGGTTTCTCCATGTTGGTCAGACTGGTCTTGAACTCCTGACCTCAGGTGATCCACCTGCCTCTGCCTCCCAGAGTGCTGGGATTATAGGCATGAGCCACTACACCCGGCAGTCTAAGGCATTTTCATTACCTTTGAGTGCCTCTGGGTTTCCCTTCCCTCCTCCTCATTATTTCTATTATTATTACATTGTAATACATAATGAAATAATTATACAACTCACCATAATGTAGAAACAGTGGGAGCCCTGAGCTTGTTTCCTGCGACTAGACAGTCACATCTGGGAGTGATAGGAGACAGTGACAGATCATCAGGCTTTAGATTCTCCATAAGGAGCCCACAAGCTAGATCCCTCCCATGCGCAGTTCACTTTTTTGTGCTGCTCTGAGCATCTAATGCTCCCGTTGCTGATCTGACAGGAGGCGGAGCTCAGGCGGTAATACAAGCAATGGGGAAGTGGCTGTAAATAGAGATGAAACTTCACTTGCTCACCTGCCTCATCTTTTGCTGTGTGATCTGGTTCCTAACAGGCCATGGACTGGTTTCCATCCTTGACCTGGGGTTTGTTGACCCCTGGCTTAGAGATCTGTGGGAGATCATGTCAGTATAGCGTGGCGTGTGTTAGGAATTCAACTGTAGGTGCTGTAAAAGCCCAAGAAAGGACATCTAATTTACTGAGGGAATGCTTCCCAAATGATGTAATGACACTAAGCTGAGTCTTTTTTTTTTTTTTTTTTTTTTGAGACGGAGCCTCACTCTGTCACCCAGGCTGGAGTGCAGTGGCTGGATCTCAGCTCACTGCAAGCTCCGCCTCCCGGGTTCAAGTGATTCTCCTGTGTCAGCCTCCCGAGTAGCTGGGACAACAGGCGCCCACCACCTTGCCCGGCTAGTTTTTTGTATTTTTTAGTAGAGACGGGGTTTCACTGTGTTAGCCAGGATGGTCTCGATCTCCTGACCTCGTGATCCGCCCGTCTCGGCCTCCCAAAGTCCTGGGATTACAGGCTTGAGCCACCGCGCCCGGCCTCTTTTTTTTTTTTGAGACAGAGTCTCGCACTGTTGCCCGGACTGGAGTGCAGTAGTGTGGTCTCGGCTTACTGCAATCTCCGCCTCCCAGGTTCAAGTGATTATCCTGCCTCAGCCTCCTGAGTAGCTGGGATTACCGGCGCACACCCACCACTCCTGGCTATAAGCTGAGTCTTAAAGGAAAAATCAACCAGGTGAAGGTAATAGATGCAGTTCCAGGGAAACAGAGTAATCCAAACAGAGAAGTGAAACAGCTTGGTGTTGGCTGTAGTGGTGGAATTACAGGCACTTATTTGACAGATGGGGGAGAGCACTTTAGTCAGGAGGATTCTCTCCATCACCCACAGTGGGGATTTTTTATTTTATTTATTTTATTTTTTTAAAGAGACAGGGTTAGGGCCGGGCACGGTGGCTCACGCCTGTAATCCCAGCACTTTGGGAGGCCAAGGTGGATGGATCACCTGAGGTCAGGAGTTAGAGACGAGCCTGGCCAACATGGTGAAACCCTGTCTATACTAAAAATACAAAAAATTAGCCAGGTATGGTGGCGGGTGCCTGTAATCCTAGCTACTTGGGAGGCTGAGGCAGGGAATCGCTTGAACCCAGGAGGCAGAGGTTGCAGTGAGCCGAGATCGCGCCATTACACTCCAACCTGGACGACAGACAGACTCCATCTCAAAAAAAAAAAAAAAAAGGGTTGGGGGCGGGTGCGGTGGCTCACGCCTATAATCCTAGCATTTTGGGAGGCTGAGGCAGGCAGATTACTTGAGCCCAGGAGTTCCAGACCAGCCTGGGCAAAATGGAGAAACCTCGTCTCTACAAAAAACAACAATTAACTGGGCATGGTGATGCTGTAATGACACTATTGCACTCCAGCCTGGGCAACAGAATAAGACCCTGTCTCAAAAAAAATACAAAGTTTCACTCTGTTGCCCAGGCTGGAGTGCAGTAGGTTTGTCATAGCCTGTAGCTTTGAACTCCTGGTCTCAAAGTGATCCTCTCGCCTTAGCCTCCTGAGTAGGAATAGCTAGGGACACAAGTTATTATGCCCAGCTTCCATGATGAGGATGTTGGAGACAGAGTCTTAATGAGGAGTGGCTTGAGGAACTGGGGTTGTTTAGTCTGTGTGTGAACTAAGTCAAGAGTAGGATAGCAATCTTTGATATTTGAAAAGCTGTCACGTGGAAGAGATTCCTAGGACTTCAGAGCAGTGGAGCACAAACATAGGTTGTCACTAAGAGACCTTTGTAGAGGTCTCAGCCTTTCCAGCCACATTCCTTATCCTCCCTGGGAATCTGAATCTTCAAGTCTAGGGAGTCTGCATTTTTAACAAGAGTCTAAGCTTAACAAGGTAAGTTGGACACCTGCTCCCTGCACTGCACTTTGAGAAACACTGAGGAAGAAACAAAACCAGTGCTATGTGGAAGATACAGAGAGGAGAGGTTCCTCTTTAAGATGAAGGTTGTACCGTCAGTGGAGGGGGATAACCTCTTAGCTAGAGAGGAGTTGTGCAAGGCCTAGGAAATTGGGATGTAGATTCAGTAGAGTCTCTCTTAACCTGGAAACTGTCTGATCCTTTAAAATCTAACCACTGGGCAGCTATTCTCTGCTCTAAGTTTGTTCCTAATACGAGGTCTCATGGGCTTTGTTTCTCCTCCAGGAGCAGGAACTCAAAGCAGCCGCTGATGGCGTACTATCTGAAGTGAGGAAAAAACAAGCAGATACCAAAAGAATGGTGGACATTCTTCGGGCTTTGGAGAAATTGAGGAAATTGAGGAAAGAGGCTGCAGCAAGGAAAGGTAACTGTGACTTTGCATTTTTTTCCTTGTTCCCTTCCCCTTCTTTAGTGCCTCCCACCCCAAATATTATTGAGGGAAAAATACTTGAAACTTCATGATTTTCACCTTGTAGGGTAGCTGGGAACTTCTGAAGGAGGAAGCCTCAGAAGATGTTTAGCCTTTGGTAGCCCAGGTTGAAAAGAGAGGCAAGTGTGGGAACCCACTGCACTGTCTTCCTGTTGACTTATCATTCCTACCCCGGGCATTTCTGGCCACACTCTTCCTAGTGGGCTTGTCCTGGCTAGTCAACTTTGCCTTGTGCCAAAGTGAAAGCTTTTCACCCTTACTGGGTGCTCCAGAAAGTGTTGAAAACTTGGCATGCTTCTTCAGATACATTTTAAATCTGAATTATTTCTAGTTGAAGAGGTATGAATGATTGGACAGGGCAGGGATTGCAGACTGTGTGGATTTCCCCACCTTCCCTGCATGTAACTGGTCTCTTCTTGCCTCTGGAGGAAGCACCAGACACTATAGCCAGGCAGTTCAAGCTTCTCCACAGAAATTTGTTCCAATCGTGCTGGCTTTCTAGAAGTTACCCAGTTGTGCTTTCCATTTGCCTGTCTGGATCTTAGCTGTTGTCATTCTGTTCATCTGGAGGGCCCTCAGTCCCATCTTCGCCATTTTAGGATCTCACTATTCAAAACCAAATACACGTGCAGCATCCTTCATCCTTCCCTGATCTGGACTGAAGTAACCTCCAGTTACTTCTCACTTGCACCTGCTTTGGACCACATTCTGATTTATTTAGTAGATTGTAGGCCTTTGGTATTCACCAGAGGTATTTGAGAGTGTACAAATTAGCAAATGCCACTCTAACAAATGATTTCCCCTGTGTTGTTTAAAATATAAATGAAAACTGGGATTCTTTTAGACCCTTAAGAAAGTTGTGTTGGAATATGACCATTTTGTATTCACTCAGGCTCATTTGCCAGCTAAGTGATTGGCTTCTGCATACCAGCCTTTAGAGTGGCTAATTCACATCCAGACCTCCATTGTTTGGAAACAGATGTCTCCATTGTGGTACTCTCAGGGCGCTTGTAAATCAGAGGGAAGTTAGCATCTGCTTTGTCTACTCATCTCTCTTTTTCACCAGAAAGCAAAACCTGAGAGCTATTTAATATTCCCTCACCTCCCATCCTCTATGAGGTGAGTGCTCAGTAAACTTCTGCCAAGTAATTTACCAGCATTTCCCAATATTAATCTTCCTCAGTTTGGTCCAAAAGCAGGAGGACATTTTAGGAAAATCATGATCTATAGAAACAAACAGACTTTGTGGCTTTAACTGACTTGAGTGTAAAATGATTTGGTAAGCAGCAGCTGGTTGCATGCGTACTGAAAATGAGCAGCTAACTTCTCTCTTCAAGATGTGTGCACCTCCAACTAAGTGCTAAATGATGAGACTGGATGTTTAAGCAGGACCACGTTGTAAATTGTCTTATGGGCCATGCTAGAGTTCTCATTCACACTTAAAGCTGTGGGGAACCACTGAAAGTTTTTAAGTGAAATGATGGCAAAGATCAGTGCCAGTAGAGCAGAGAAAGTTTTGGAGCGTCCAGGAGAGAGAGAGAAGGGCAGAGAGACTGGTAAGGCTATTCGGCACGGATAGTATGGAAGCATAAGCTGAGCGACGTCAGTGTAGGAGAATTGAGAGATAGTGAATAATTCCAATAATTCACAATTATTAGTGAATAATTCTCAAGTCAAAGAATTGAAGATAATGAATAAAGGTATACGTGTATATACCCATGTACGTATAAATAAATAACTTAGGGAACTCAGAGTATAGGAACTAAAGGGAAAAGAAATGACTTCCAGGTTCTAGCCTCACCTACTGAATAAGTGAAGATAGCTTTTTTTTTTCCTTTTTTTTTTTTTTAAAAGACAGGGTCTTGCACTGTCACCTAGGCTGAAGTGCAGTGATGCAATCGTAATTCACTACAGCCTTATACTCCCAGGCACAAGCAATCCTCCCTCCTCAGCCTCCTGAGTAGTAGGGACTACAGGTGCACACCACCACACCTGGCTAATTTTTAAATTTTTTGTAGAGATAGGGTTTCACCATGTTGCCCAAGCTGGTCTCGAACTCCTGGGCTCAAGCAATTCTCCCACTTGGCCTCCCAAAGTGGTAGATTACAGGTGTGAGCCACTGTGCCTGACCGATACCATTCTAATGAAGAAGGAAAACAAAGGAGGAGGAACAGGTTTGGGGTTGACAAGTTTAGTTGGGGACCTGTTGAGTTTGAGGTGTGTGTGGTACATCCTGGATAAGAGTTCATTAGCATGTAGCCATGAGTCAAAATGACCTTAAGGAGATTGTACAGCATGAGATGAGGGCCAAAAAGACAAAATCATAAGAAATGTCAAAATCAAGGTAGAAGATGAGGAGAGCAAAAAAGAGACTAAGAGAGGTCAGAGAGATGGGAGGAAAAGATAGGCTCCCTGCTTCCTTCTGGAAAGTGGCAAGTGCTTAGAGAGATTGTGTAGTCTTGGTGATATGGTTCGGCTGTGTGCTCACCCAAATCTCATCTTGAATTGTAGCTCCCATAATTCCCACATGTTGTGGGAGGGACCTGGTGTTAGGTAATTGAATCATGGGGACAGGTCACATGCTGTTCTTGTGATCATAAGTCTCATGAGATCTGATGGATTTATAGGGCCGGGCGCGGTGGCTCAAGCCTGTAATCCCAGCACTTTGGGAGGCCGAGACGGGTGGATCACGAGGTCAGGAGATCGAGACCATCCTGGCTAATATGGTGAAACCCCGTCTCTACTAAAAATACAAAAAACTAGCCGGGCGAGGTGGTGGGCGCCTGTAGTCCCAGCTACTCCGGAGGCTGAGGCAGGAGAATGGCGTAAACCCGGGAGGCGGAGCTTGCAGTGAGCTGAGATCCGGCCACTGCACTCCAGCCTGGGCGACAGAGCGAGACTCCGTCTCAAAAAAAAAAAAAAAAAAAAAAAAGAGAAATCCATAGAAAGGAAAAAAGTAACATGCCCAAGAATATGCATTGTATCACTATGGAACAGGACATTTGGAATAACTTTTAGGTGTCCAGGAGTAGGGAACTTGATAAGTATATTCTAGTGCATTGATTTGATGAAATAGGATACAGCCATTAAATAATTACGAAGATTGGAGAAGAATGTACAGAATCAACAGGGAGAAGTGGAAATTACATATATATAACGTAGAACTATATGAAGTTGCTAATACATGGACAAAAAAACCTGAAGAGAACATGGGAAAGTATAAAATGGTTGATTATGGTAATGGGATTAGGGTATTTTTTTTTCTTTCTTGTATCTGGTATTCTTTTTTTTTTTTTTTTTTGGAGATAAGAGTCTCGCTCTATCACCCAGGCCAGAGTGCAGTGGCATGTTCTTGGCTCACTGCAGCCTCCACCTCCTGGTTTCAGGCGATACTTCTGGCTTAGCCTCCTGAGTAGCTGGAACTACAGGCATACACCACCATGCCTGGCTAATTTTTTTGTATTTTTAGTGGATATGGGGTTTCACCATGTTGGTCAGGCTGGTCTCGAACTCCTGAGCTCAGGCAATCCACTTGCCTCAGTCTCCCAAAGTGCTAGGTTTACAGGTATGAGCCACCACACCTGGCCCTGTATCTGGTATTGCTAAAATGCATGGGTAATGTATTTTCCTTTAAAATCTTCAAGGACTGACAGGATAGATCACACCCACATCACCCTACATTGATTCACCTAGCAGCTTTCGTATTGTAGGGAAATTATGGTAGTGAGTACAGAATTGCAGTCCACTCAAGTATTCATTAAGTTAAAATCTTTTTTTCTTATGAAACTTTATGAAAAATTTCTCACATGCACAAAAATAGAATACATACTCATCATCATCTATACCATTGTCACACCAAAAAAATTAGCAATAATTCTTTGATATCACCTAATAACCAGACTATTTTCCCAGCTGTGGCTTTAGATACGTTGGCTATACTGTTAGCTGATCTCATAGTTACATCAGGATAATAACCATCCCAGTTTTACTGGGACATGGGGCTTCCAGTGCTACATGCGGGCAAACCAAAACAGTTGGTCAGCCTACTGTCAGCAGCAGACTGCAAGGTCAGTGTGGATGGTTAAGTGTATCTTCCTCCTTATCAAAGTGTGCACTCCCAAAATTCACACTCAGAGTGATGCTGAGGGAATTTCACAAACAATGAAGTTAAGACAAGTTCCTCGGGCCGGGCGCGGTGGCTCAAGCCTGTAATCCCAGCACTTTGGGAGGCCGAGACGGGCGGATCACGAGGTCAGGAGATCGAGACCATCCTGGCTAACACGGTGAAACCCCGTCTCTACTAAAAAATACAAAAATCTAGCCGGGCGAGGTGGCGGGCGCCTGTAGTCCCAGCTGCTCGGGAGGCTGAGGCAGGAGAATGGCGTAAACCCGGGAGGCGGAGCTTGCAGTGAGCTGAGATCCGGCCACTGCAGTCCAGCCTGGGCAACAGAGCGAGACTCCGTCTCAAAAAAAAAAAAGACAAGTTCCTCCCTTTAGTGAGCTCACTGTTTCAAGTGGAGGATTAAGACTATCAGAAATAAACAAAGTGGAGGCCAGGTATGGTGGCTCATGCCTTTAATCCTAGCACTTTGGGAGGCCGAGGCGGCCGGATCACCTGAGGTCGGGAGTTTGAGACCAGCCTGACCAACATGGAGAAACCCTGTCTCTACTAAAAATACAAAAATTAACTAGGTGTGGTGGCACATGCCTGTAATCCCAGCTACTCGGGAGGCTGAGGCAGGAGAATTGTTTGAACCCAGGAGGCGGAGGTTGCGGTGAGCTGAGATGCGCCATTGCACTCCAGTCTGGGCAACAAGAGTGAAACTCAGTCTCAAAAAAAAAAAAGGAAAAGAAATAAAATCAGAGATTAAGTGGTGTGATCCAGAGGGAGGAGTTGAGAAAGTCAGGGTAGGGTCAGAGTAATTGAATACTTAAAAACATCAAATTGAGCCTTAAAGATTGGATTTCCAAATTTTAATCGATACATACTGTAGGTAGGACTTTGAACCTGCTCATTATAGCACAGATTTTGTGATAAGAAAAAGTGTGTAAAAGGCCATTTGGGCTGGATGCAGTGGCTCACTTTGGGAAGCCAAGCTGGTAGATTGCTTGCGGCCAGGAGTTGGAGATTAGCCTGGGCAACATAGCAAGACCTCATACAAAAACTTTTTTTTTTTTTTTTTGGGAGATAAAGTCTCATTCTGTCACCCAGGTTGGAGTGCAGTGGTGCAATCTCTGCTCACTGCAAGCTCCACCTCCTTCTGCATTCACACCATTCTCCTGCCTCAGTCTCCCGAGTAGCTGGGACTACAGGTACCCGCCACCATGCCCGGCTAATTTTTTGTATTTTTAGTAGAGACAGGGTTTCATCGTGTTAGCCAGGATGGTCTCGATCTCCTGACCTTGTGAGACCTCATATAAAAACTTTACAAATTAGTAGGTAGGGCCAGGCACCAGTGGCTCATGCCTGTAATCCCAGCACTGTGGGAGGCCAAGGCAGGAGGATTGCTTGACCAGGAGTTTAAGACCAGCTTGAGAAACATAGGGAGACCCTGTCTCTACAAAGATAAAAATAAATTGGCTAGATGTGGTGGCACATGCCTGTAGTCCCAGCTACTTGGGAGGCTGAGGTGGGAAGATCTCTTGGTCCCAGGAGGTCGAGGCTGCAGTGAGTCGTGATCATGCTACTGCACTCCAGCCTGGGCAACAGAGTGAGACCGTGTCTCAAAAAAAAAAAGAAAAAAGAAAAAGCCATGCATGGTGGTGCACACCTGTAGTTGTAGCTACTTGGGAAGCCAAGGTGGGAGGATTGCTTGAGCCCAGGAGTTTGAAGTTGCAGTGAGCTATGATCACACCACTTGTACTCCAGCCTAGGTGATAGAGTGAGGCCTGGTCTCAATAAATAAATAAATAAAATGCCAGTTTGTTCTTTCTGCCCAGGGGTTTGTCCTCCAGCCTCAGCAGATGAGACTTTTGAGCACCATCTTCAGCGACTGAGAAAACTCATTAAAAAGCGCTCTGAACTATATGAAGCTGAAGAGAGAGCCCTCAGAGTTATGCTGGAAGGAGAACAAGAGGAAGAGAGGAAAAGAGAATTAGAAAAGAAACAAAGAAAAGAAAAAGAGAAAATTTTACTTCAGAAACGTGAAATTGAGTCCAAGTTGTTTGGGGATCCAGGTATGTTGCTCTATAACCAGTGGAGAAAATGAAAATACTAGATTGACAGCTCTTCTTATCATGGGTGAACTCAAGCTAAGAGGTAGTAGGCAGCAAATGACACCTTCCAGATTTGCAGTTCTATGTCATAGAACTCATGGATACAGATAAACACATTTGCTCATTCTGTCATAATCATAGGCTCAGTCACCTTGCCTTGAGAAATACATTGTGGATATCAAGCATGATAACATGGTATTGTGCTTTTCTCTTTCAGACGAGTTCCCACTTGCTCACCTCTTGGAGCCTTTCCGACAATATTACCTCCAAGCTGAGCACTCCCTACCAGCGCTCATCCAGATCAGGTCAGAGGGGCAGGCTCTCCATGTTGTCTTTCCCTTAGGTAGCAAGAAGCACTTGAAGAAGTGCTTACATTGTTTAGGTTTATTACTGTCTTTTTTTTAAGTTCCATAGGGAACTTAAAAAAAATTATGGGTTTATAATGTTTCCATATTCAAGGATGCTGCATACATGTTGTTTAGTCCTCATTAATCCTTGAGAAGTTGATGTCCCTATTTTTATAGGTGAAGAAACAAACTCAGGTTGTGACTTGCTGTATTATCTCATGTTATAGATATTATAGCTGTTACATTGATTTAAAGCATTGGTTTCCTTTTCCAAATTATCTTCGGGTGCTAACCAGATCCAGGAAAAAGAAACCCTCCACTATGTACTTGCCTGTGGAGACGGTTTAAGACCCATGCTGACTTCTGAGCTCTTACAGGTCAAAGCCCAGAAACTTGGGAACAAGGAGGCACATCTGAATCTGCAGTTCTTAAGGAGCTAGGCAGAGTTTTCAGCTCTCTGGGTCTCCCTTTCCTCACCTATAAAATGAAGACAGTGGACTAGACTGTGGACTTCAAACTTGAGCAGAAGCACTCTTCCAAAATGCAGTCTTTGAGGAAACACTATGTAAGATAAATGGAATGAATGGGTTCCCGAGGCAGTATAAATCTGTTGTTGCCTAGAAGCACTTTGTTGTTTCTAGACTCCCATAAACATTTGCTTGGGGCCTAGGGGTTTTCAAAGTGTGATTTGAAAATCACTGAACTAAATGATCTCAGATGTCCCTTCTAAAACCTCAGCTGTTTGTGATTCTCATGAAAGAATGCTCTTTAGCATATCAAGTTTATGTTCTAGGAAAAGTTTATTTTTTGCTAATATACAAGTTTTAGCTTTTAAACATAAGTACAGTTGATTCTCATTTTTCATGACAGCTATATTCTCTAAAGTCACTGCAAACACTGATTTCAGAATACTGAACATCACTCCTAACGGAAACACAGGGTTAGGTAGATTCCTGGGAGCCTCTGGTCACAATGTTTTTGTCAGCTGATGAATACCTTGTTGTATGTGTGTTTGTGTTAAAGACACCTTATTTAATATATGTTGTTGATTTACTAACATTGAACTCACGACTAATAGTACTCTACCTCATGCCTAAATGAAGCTTACCTAACACACTTTCTCCACAAAGCACATCACAGCCTTCTTGCCGTTAGGAACACTACACTTAGGGCCATTTTAAACAGTAAAGTCGTCAGTAAAAAGCGCAAAAATATGGAAAATGTGGCACTAAATAGAGAAAAGAACCCATTTATATTAATAGTATGCGCTGAAAACAAGAAGGCAGACTAAGTATTGCCTTCTTTGATCTCACCTGGGAACAGTTCATTTTCATAACTCAGATTTTTTTGCCACTCTGTGTGTCTACGAGTATCCATGAAAGAGCTACAAGTGATGATTTAGGGGCTGCAAATAAATTTTAGTTAGTAGGCACATATGCAAATACAGAATCTGTAAATAATGAGGATTGACTTTATTATTAGGTTATCCATAAGGCTATAAGTTCTTCAGAGTTTTTTCTCCTTTTATGTGTACATTTAAGAAATGTAGTCATTTTCTTGATTCCTAGAAATCAAGTTCTGTAATAGGTTAGTATATCAGTCATTTGAAAGCTAAGTCTTAGAATATGTAGTTGCTGAACATCTTATTTGAAATAAAACAGAAATAAATAGTTGTTCTATAATGTTCTTATTAAGGCATGATTGGGATCAGTACCTGGTGCCATCCGATCATCCCAAAGGCAACTTCGTTCCCCAAGGATGGGTCCTTCCCCCGCTCCCCAGCAACGACATCTGGGCAACTGCTCTTAAGCTGCATTAGTAAGGATGCTCCAGGAGTGTGGTCCAGCCAACGCTCTTTCCAGCTCTAAATATTAGCGATGGTGCCATCTTTTGCTGTAGACTAAACTGCAACTTCTGAATTCCATGTGGCATTCCCCTACCCTGAAGTTACGCTTTCCTTCTGTGCTCTATGCTGGCCAGAGGTGCCTCTTAAATCAGATTAATGTGGTTCTTCAAGAAAGGACTTAGGTGAACTGAGCTTTTTACCACAGGCAGTGAATGACCTGGGTTCACCAAATTTGCCTCTGTTTTGAGGGGCTTGGTCCAGAGTGACTAATTTACTCTAACTTCCTTGTGTGTTGAAGGGTAAGTACACTCAAACACTGAATACAGGTGTGCAATGGGTAGATTTCACAGCCCTTCCACTAATAGTGAGTGTGAAGGCAAGCTTGATGCAAAACCTCCTGACCTTTCCTACCTGAAGAGCCCTTTGACTTCTAGGAAGAAAGGTCAAAAACATGTTACTTCTAGGAAGAAAGGTCAAAAACATGTTATCTTCAGTTTTGTTAATCCCAGTTTTGGTGCAGCTTGGGAGGCTGCTAATTAGGAAGATGGCAGTGACTGTAGGCTGGGTTGCCAGAAAATATGGTGGCCTAGTCTTATTATTTCAGGTGGGGTACTTAGAAAACCTGAAGAATACCCAAATTGGATTGTGTTTTAATGGACAATGGCTATATTTTTTCCATGTTAGAAGGATCCTAATGAAAGCACCTGTTATTTTTAAGTTTCTAAGGGTCTAGTTGTTCAGAATCCCCAAGGATATTTCCTTAACCTCACCCAGTCACATTGTAGGAGCCAGTGTAGCTGTGGAATTATCTTAGGAACTCAAGCTTCTAAAACTAGCCATGTAGTCAAATCTGGGGGAAAAGCAAATACAAATAATAAAATATATTTTTTATATTCATTAATAAATGCTGTTGTGCTTGGAGATGATCACTCATATAACGTGTCATTTTTTTGGTTCTGTTTTGATTTAGTTTTTGCCAATTATTTTGTTATATTTCCAAAAAACTAAATAAAAATCATTTTATTTTTTAGTTTGTGCCTTTGCTGCCAATTTGTTGCCTTCCAAATCACTTAGCACACACTTTCACATTGATGAAACGTGTTTTCATTCAAAAATTCAAATTTATTAAGCAGGCATTTGTTACAGGAATGTGAATCTTAAACGTCAAACTTCATCTGTAAAATCCACGTCTGGATTGGTAAAGATACCGTCAATTTTGGAAATAATGTTAGTGTACTGTAGTTGGAAGCTTTTGGGTGCGAGATACTAATGCCTTTGTCCCTTTTCTGTTGTTTAATTTGCATTAATTTATACATTATATAGACTTAACAGATAGGGAATGAGAGCCACATGTCTCCAAAATTTATGTCTACGTTTATAAATCCTAAAATCTGATATGATTACCCTCGTAGAACTCCACAATCCTGTGTGCCTTTTTGTTAGATATCTCCACCATTTGCTCTCTGATGAGATGCAGGAAGAGTAGAAATAAGGTGAATTGTACAATGTGTGTTTGGTGTCTGGACAGCCTTGCCACTAAGACATCTGCTGTGAGGACAGGGAATGTGCTACAGGGACTCAGGAAAACTCAGGCAGCAGAACCCAAGAAGGTGGCATTTAGCCACAGATGGAGAAAAAAAAAGTCCCTTTTCCTTTTGGCCCTTGCAAGGTTTTAATAGAGTGAGCAGGCCGGGTGTGGTGACTCACACCTGTAATCCCAGCACTTTGGGAGGCCGAGGCAGGTGGATCACCTGAGGTCAGGAGTTGAAGACCTGCCTGGCCAACATGGTGAAATCCCATCTCTACTAAAAATACAAAAATTAGCCAGGTATGATGGCAGGCGCCTGTAATCCCAGCTACTTGGGAGGCTGAGGCAGGAAAACCACTTGAAGCCAGGAGGCGGAGGTTGCAGTGAGCTGAGATCACACCATTGTACTCCAGCCTGGGCAACAGAGCGAGACTCTGTCTCAAAACAAAATTTTTTTTAAAAAGTTGTTTGGTATTTATTTGTAAGATTTTCCTGGTTTATTACCTGTGTAGTGGTGGTGGCAGCAGTCACTGGTTGTTTCAGGTTTAGAGAGACTCATGGTAGTGTCTTTAATGAACTGTACTTCCAAGAATATGAGCAGTGTTACTGTAATCTTATCCCACAGTCTTTTTTTTTTTTTTTTTTACTTGGGAAAATTTCAAATACATTAAAAAATAAAGAGAATAGTACAATGATTTTTTTCCATGTACCCATCATCCAGCTTCAAGTCATTATCAGCTCATGGCCAATCTTGTTTCATCTGTGCATCCTCCACTCACCCTGGATCATTTTGGAGCCAATCTCAGGCATCAAGTTACGTCATCCGTAAATATTTCATTATGTAGCTTTAAGCGATTTAAAAAAAAATCTAACCACAGGACCATTATCACATCTAAATAAATAACAACTCCTTAATATCACAAACATCCAGACATTGTTCAAGTTGCCCTCTCATAAATGTGTTTTACATTTTGTTCAAATTAGGATCTAAATAGAATCCATACACTTGTTTGCAACCTTGTGATGCTGTGTCCCTCTGTTCTCGTATATATTGTAATTTAGTAGTTAAACAGAGCTGTACTGTCCAATATAGTAGCCACATTCAGCTATTGAGCACTTGAAATGATCTATTTGAGTTGAGATGTGCAATTACATATGTGGATCACATGTTTCAATTGGATAGTGCTGATCTAGAGGCTTGATCACATTTAGATTGGAATTTTCTGGCAGGAATACTTCACAGACATGATGTGTACTTCCAGTCAGGAGGCACTAATGTCTTGGCTTTTTTTGTGATGTTAGCGGCCACTGATAAGAGCTAGATTCATTCATTGATGGGGAGGGGAGTCAAAAATAGTGGTAGTTTAATTCTGTTATTCTTCAATTACTAACTGGAATACTTTTTAAAAGAAAAACGGTACAAAAGCATTTGTTTTTAATTCGGTAAATACAGAGAAGATTAGAAAGCTATGAGAGAAAGAGATTAGTTCTTAAATACTAAGGGTATTTAGCCCAAGTGGCTGAGTTTATGATGTCAAAGAATTTGCTTCTACAAGCCAACCAACTTAATCACCCTAAAACCATTCATGCTCCTATGCCCATGTGACATTTGTAACAAGAAGCTTAGGCTTATACCATCTGTTGTAGCTATTCACTTACACATGCTTTGTCTGCAGGGAAGCTCTCCTGGATTTTACAAGGTAAGTACAAAGTATATCTTATTCCATTTAAATAAGTATAATATGCAATATATGAAAGGAATGTGAACGCTCTGAAATAGTAGTGATTTATGGAATAGTGATTAAATGAGACATTATCAACTAAATTTGTTTTTTGCCACCTATTTGTCCCACATTTTTTTTAATGTTTAGAACCTATAAGCTATTTCCGGATGATGAGTCGTTTACCTTTTTGTGAATCCACAGAGTAGTTCCTGGCTTGCCGTTTCTGGGCCACACATGAAGAGTATGTTTCCATGGCAGAGTTCATTTGCCTTTTGGAATAAATTTGGTTTTTCATAGCCTCCAAAGCAAAGATTAAGGTCTCTGAGGCAAGTGGTGTTAGAGTGCATAACTGTGTAGAACAGTGGACACTTTCCTCAGCTTTGTTAATTCATGCTGGCCACAGTCTGGATACCAGGATTTAAATTATGTTCTTTGGGAAATGATTTTTTATTTACCATTTTCCAGTTACTGTGGTTAGGTGCTAGGGATGTAAGAAGGGGTGAACAGACAGGATTCCTGACCTCCTGGAGTTTAGAGTGAAGAAGCTTAATGATTATAACAGAGTCATTAGAGACAATTGTGATAAGTGCTACAAGGAAAAGTACTTATCAACCAATTTATATATTTCATTCCAAATGTTTAAGTGCCTATTAAAGCTAACCAAAATACCAAATACTTCCTAACCTCATACAGAATACAGGCAATCAGGAAGGTAGATACTAACCCAATAATCATAAAAAATATGCTGAGTGCTTTGAAAGACGTGGTTCTGAGATTATGAATTAGGATTTTTCTTCAAAAGCGTTCTGTGACACACTTAGTTGAAATAATAGAAAATATGTGTCATATAGTAAGGGTAAGAGTCATTATTCAGTTTACATATATGTATGCTAGGAAATAAAAGTATACCATGAGTCACAGTAAAAAAAAAAAAAAAAAGGGGGACCAGGCACGGTGGCTCACGCCTGTAATCCTAGCACTTTGGGAGGCCGAGGTGGGCAGATCACAAGGTCAGGAAATGGAGACCATCCTGGTGAACACGATGAAACCCCGTCTCTACTAAAAATACAAAAAATTAACCAGGCGTGGTAGTGGGCGCCTGTAGTCCCAGCTACTCAGGAGGCTGAGGCAGAAGAATGGCATGAACCCGGGAGGCGGAGCTTGCAGTGAGCAGGATCTCGCCACTGTACTCCAACCTGGGTGACAGAGCAAGACTCCGCCTCAAAAAAAAAAAAAAAAAAAAAGATGTGTTCCCCAAATCCTCAAACTCTTAAAGTATCCTAGAAGCAAGTGTAGGGCTGAGTAGAAAATACCTATTAGGATGCAGATGCTGGGCAGAAGATGGAGAGAAGGGTGCCTTATACCTGCTAAGTGGACAGACAGTCTCAATGGAACTGTGCCCCTTCCCCGGAGATAGCTCAAAATTCATATGATACCTGAAAATGTGAATAATAAATCTGAGAATGCCAAAACTTGCTGAACTTTCCTGTGTCTCCTATAACCTACTTGTACCTCAGAGGTCCCCTGTAAGAACTGACTGATGGGGCAGATAATTTACTGGTTACAGTGGGACTTGCTTGATTCTGTATCACTAAGGCAGCATAGAGAGCCACCTCCTGCTGTGCAGGGAGACCAGCTCTAGGCATGGAGTGGAGAAACCTTTTGAGTCTTATATATAGCAAGACACTGACAAGAGTTGACAGATGGGGCAGGAGATGAGGGAATTAAGGGATTTGCCCACTTGCCTTCATTTGACCTCCCTGCAGTCAGATTACCCGCCCTAACTCTCCACATGATGCTCTCATGGGAAGGGGATGACTGTAGTGACCCCTAGCAGGGCAGAGCTTTTGCGTCATCCTGGGAAGGATGACAGATGGTGTTGAGCCAGAGGCACTCTCTACTGCAGACTCCCTGATAATCCCTGATTGTTTGCAAAAAGGCAGACTGCGGTCAAGGAGTCTAGATTCAAGTGTATATTATAGGCAGTCGTGAGCTTAAATTCTGTGTGAATGAGTTTGGTTTTTTGTTGTTTTTTTTTTTACAGTCTCACTCTGTCGCCCAGGCTGGAGTGCAGTGGTGCCATCTTGGCTCACCTCAACCTCTACCTCCTGGGTTCAAGCGATTCTTCTGCCGCAGCCTCCTGAGTAGCTGGGACTACAGGCGTGTGCCACCACGCCCAGCTAAATTTTTTTTTGTATTTTTAGTAGAAACGGGGTTTCATCATGTTGGCCAGGATGGTCTTGAGTTCTTGACCTCCTGATCCATCCACCTCAGCCTCCCAAAGTGCTGGGATTACAGGTATGAGCCACACGTCCAGCCAAGTTTGTTCTTTTTTTTTTTTTTGGAGAGTCTCAATCTGTTACCAGGCTGGAGTGCAGTGGCACAATCCCAGCTCACTGCAACCTCTGCCTCCTGGGTTCAAGCGATTCTCCTGCCTCAGCCTCCCGAGGGAGTAGCTGGGACTACAGGTGCACGCCACCATGCCCAGCTAATTTTTGTGTTTTTAGTAGAGACGGGGTTTCACCATGTTGGCCAGGATGGTCTCGATCCTCTTGACCTTGTGATCCGTCGCCTCATCCTCCCAAAGGGCTGGGATTACAGGCATGAGCCACCACACTGGGCCGAGTTTGTTCCTTTTTAAAGGCAACAGATTCAATATTTAATGTAGTTTAAAATACATC